ATTCATGGAGTTACTTCGGGAAATATTGCTGGTTGTAATTGACTATCTAACCCATGTGTGGATTTTAAATACACACCCTGGTCTGAAGCACTGTAACTCCTGAGTCAGTCTATCTCAAGTCCTTTCCTAGCAATGTCATCACTAGCTATGTGATCCTGGGCAAGTTGCTTAGCATTTCTCATCAAAAAATTGGGATAAGAATAGCACCTACCTTCCAGGGCTTTAATTCAGATCAAATGATTATGTGTGTAAAGCCCTTAACAGTTGCTGACCTGCTTTAGACACTCGATGGACACATGCTACAATTATTACAACAAAAATATGTTAGTTTGCTCCTTTCTTTTCATTGAGGTCTAATGGACATATTATATAAGTTTCAGGTATACAAGATGATTTGATAAATGTGTATATTGTGAAATGATCATCACAATAAGTCTAGTTAATATCTGTCACCACACATAGTTATAAAAAATTTTTTCTTGGGATGAGAACTTTTAAGACCTATTCTATTAGCAGGTTCCTAATATGCAATACAGTATTATTGGCTGTAGTCACATGCTATATATTACATCCTCATGACTTATTTATTTTATAACTGGAAATTTGTACTTTAAAAAAAATTATATATATATATATATATATATATATATATTTTTATTGATTTCAGAGAGGAAGGGAGAGGGAGAGGTAGAAACATCAGTGATGACAGAGAATCATTGATTGGCTGCCTCCTGCACGCCCCACACTGAGGATTGAGCTTGCAACCTGGGCATGTACCCTGACTGAGAATTGAACCTTGACCTCTTAGTTCATAGGTTGACACTCAACCATTGAGCCACGCTGGCTGGGTAGGGTCTCAGTGAATAGGTCCCAGTGGGAATGTTCAGAACTTCACTGTCTCATTTCATTTATCTTCACACACTCCAGTCAGGGATGCCCCCAGGAGTCCCTATAATAGCGCCCCCATTGCCTCAGTAGTATCATAGCATTTGTGCACCCGCCTTCCCCAGGAGGCCATGAGCTCCTCCAGGGCAAGAGCCACATCTCCAACCTCCAGCCTAGAACTAGGCTCATGTCAGGACGTAGACCAGTGGTTCTCAACCTTCCTAATGCTGCGACCCTTTAATATGGTTCCTCCTGTTGTGGTGACCCCCAACCATAAAATTATTTTCGTTGCTACTTCATAACTGTAATTTTGCTACTGTTATGAATCGTAATGTAAATGTCTGAGATGGAGGATGTATTTAGGCGACCCCTGTGAAAGGGTCATTCGACCCCCAAAGGGGTCGCGACCCACAGGTTGAGAACCGCTGACTTAGACGATGCCTGTTGGGTAAAGAAATGTACATACGCCCAAGCCCAACCGACAGGGCTCCGTGGTTGAGCATCAGCCTGTGAACCAGGAAATCATGGTTTGACTACCAGTCAGGGCACATGCCCAGGTTTTGGGCTCAGTCCCTAATAGGGGGTGTGCAGGAGGCAGCCAATCAATGGTTCTCTCTCACTGATGTTTCTATCTCTCTCTTCCTCTCCCTTCGTCTCTGAAATTAATAAAGATATATTTTTTTAAAAAAAGAAATGCACATACAATTTTTGCTTTACCTTTGTATCCTTTCTAACATGCAAACCAATACAGAGTTGGAAAAGCAACATGTCAATTACATTAACTTGATCAATTATAAGAGAACAACAGCTACTGTGGTTAAGAACCATGAGACATATTTTGAGACTAGGAAGGGGCAGATGGGAATAGACTGCTGAATCTTCCAACAGTTGAAATGGTTGACTCTACTTATTCTATGGGATATCTCTGAAAAAAAATTGACTGAAATATTTTACATTTGCTAGAAAAAGTTGAACTGAATTGAACACATCATTTATTTTTAAGTGAAGAACAACCTTCAGGCTAAGAAAAACAATTATGGTCCTTGAATTCAATTATTAACATACTATTGTAAATAGGTCCCCTCCCCAGAACATTCTTTCCATTTCTTTGAAGTTTTAGCATATGTTTCCATTTCTATAGCTCACACACACAGAAAATGCATTATTTCCTATTTGAATTCATATTTCCTATGAAGTCTGTCTTGACTTTGTTTTAAATTTGCTGGGCTAATTCCCAGCTATACAAGATCATGGGACTTTGTTAAAAATTCCGATTGCTAGGCCCTGTCCCTAGAGACTGGGATTCAGCAGGTCAGAAGGTGGCCCAAACGTGAGCATTTATTAAGTACTTTGAGGATTGTGACAAGCTGCAGAATATAGGGACAAACAGGGGGCATTGTTCTAATTTAAGGTACATACACTTTTAGAGTATTTTTTTCTTCTCTTTAGAAGTCAAGTGAAGGCAATTTCATTAAGAAAGGCTGCCTATAACCATAAGCCAAGCAAATTGCTCTAACTGCTCTGAGATGCAAAGCAAATAGTTTTGGGTGTGCTATATAATTTGTCTGATACCGTCACATTCTTTTAACTTGGGCTTTAGTCCAGGGGAAGAAACAATATTTTCCCATCCAGAAAAGCCAGTATAATCATGTTTGTATATACTGTACGCTTCAAGTAATTATCTAACATTCCATTTTTGTACCATATTCTGGGCAAATTACCGGCCTCTGATCAATAGGACTTTGTGTTAAGTGTCTGTAAACCGAAACCAAAGAATGAAAGTTCCGATCAATGTTCAGCCAGAACTAATTATTTTAAATCTTCTGAAAAAATATCAGAATTCCTGAGAATGTAGATGCCCTATTATTGGACCTGGCATACTTATTTTAATATGTAAAACAAGTTACTTTCCATTATTTTTCTTTTCTTTTGTTTCCAACAAAAGAAATGAAATATTTCATGTCTGACCACATCATTAGCCAAAGACACAGTGGAGGGATTATACTTTTATTTCATAATTCTAGTAAAATTTATTCTTTTTCCCTTCTCTCTTTCACATGCATGCACACACATGCACACACGCACACACACAGAGTTTGCTATAAGGAATTCTAAAGTGAAAATATGTTTACTCATCATAGTATATAATAAGTTGAGTAACAATCTAAAGAAATTGATCCTTCTTGGTTATCATTGTGATATGTGAGCCCACTTTTTCTGGAAATGCTGTTTTTAAAAATCTGTAATACATGGATAATTGCCCATCTCAAAAAGGTAAGCATTAAGCGAAATCACATCAAAAGATACAGTCATCCAAATACCAGCTCCCCAAGTCAAGTATTTTTTTCCTTGTTGCATTTCCAATCAGCCGAGGGCATTATCATGAATGCCCATAGTTGTAATTATGCTGTAGATATATTATCTCCTGCTTATATGGCCACTTTGGTTGCATCGTCTTTATGTTGCCACATAGTTCTCTCATTGTTTTAAATGTCTATGTAATATTATATTGGGTGGTTATACCATTGTACTCGGACTTTCCAATATTCTTGAGCATTCACATTATTTACAAGGTTAAAAAATGGAGTTTCATTGCTGACAAGACCTATGCTTTAAATGAGCAAGAATGTATGTTTTGACCCTTGAGCTAGCATATAAATCATCTCATTATATGGACCATTTAAACAGATAACTTCTTCATGGAGCTGAAATATTTGCTGTACATACCATATCTGTGCTGTGAGGAAGCATGTTCTTTGAAAATGGTATGGCACGTCATCCCAGACTCACTGGCTTTCTGCTTGCCACTGTATCTTCCTTAGGAAATCTCAGTTCGTTTTCCCTAGTCATGTGGCCCAGAAGCCCGGGGCTGAGTAATGGGATGTGAATGATTTGCTTAGGTGGATTCAGACCTTTGAGGTTCTCAAAGAATATGGTTTCCTCATTCTTCCCCATAATTTCTCTAATTAGTTCAAGGAAATTGAACAAAGTTCTGAGATTTGCTATGATGGCTACTTTAATTATTTGTTTTGTTTTGAAATATTTAATTTTTTCATTTCCTTTTGGGGTCACCTGGTTAGATTTGTACCCTAAGCAAATGTTTCCTCTTTTCTGAAGTAACTAAACAATTGATAATAGTTCATTAGGTTGGGTGTTCATACAAGAACATTTGCTCTGTATCCTAAAATTCTTGATCACCAATTGCAAACAAAAATATTGTCTGAATTTTTTATACTAAATTTTATCACTTTACAAGATATGGATTCCTTTAATTCTATCATGGTAGCACAAGGGTCACCAATAGATGAGATATCTGACTAACTTAAGCATGTCTTGAATTGACGTCATCATCAGTTCAAGGGAATTTTGAAGGAAGGGAACTGGTATTTTGTCAAACAGACTACGTTAACAAGAGTTTCCCCATACAGTAAGACCACAAAACGGGAGGTAGTCTTTTGTTATTCAGGATATGATTAATATTGCCTCATCATTTAATTTTAGGACTTCAATTTTAAAGTTGCTTGCATCAGTTCAAGATACTGAGGGTGCCTACTTTTTCTTTCTTTAGTTACTAAATATTTGGTAAATAATGAACTGAAATAAGTCTCCCGCGATATCTTTTTCTTTACCAAAACCTCTGCTAATGTTTTGTGTTAGTTCTAGTCTTTTTTTCTTATGTACTTTTTCATTTACATTTTTGTAACTGTTTTATATATAATTTGAATCAGATTTATTTCACTTAACATTGCTTTATATGTTTTTTTCCTATGTTTACACTCTTCATGTCAGTTGTAATTTTTGTACACCATTCCATCCTTCTGATATTCCATAATGTTCCTAAGTGTGTCCCCTATTACTAGGCATTTAGAATGCTTAATTGTCTATCAAGTACATGATGATAATTGTTAAGACCCTGGCCCACACACCATGTTGATATTGTACATATAAGTCATTGAGGTGACCTGATCCTGGCATGATTTGTCTTTCTCAATCAGTGTTGTGCATTTTTTACTGAATTTCTTTTTTGTTTGGGGATGGGGGTCAGAGGAGAGGGGAGCAGGTTGTAATCCACTTCATGGGTGTAACCCACTTCATTTTTGTCTTTCTTTCCTCAGTGGTGAAAGTGGTGCTGGAAAGACAGTGGCGGCCAAATACATCATGAGTTATGTCTCCAGAGTGTCTGGAGGAGGCCCCAAAGTCCAGGTGAGTTTGTGATGTAGCCCATTTTGAGACCCTGTCCTACATGAAATGTAAGAGGTTCCATAACTGTCAGAATGGCAAACATTTTGAAGTGTTTGAAACATTCTATTGGTAAAAAAAAAAAAAAAGCGGGGCATAGGCCTCTCATACCTCCCTGGTAGGAGCATGAACTAGTATATGTACTTTTCTGGAGGGCATTTCAGCAAAAGGTGCATGACACATGTACCTTTTGACTCATTAATCCTGCTTAAGAGAATGTGTCCTTTACTAGTAGATGTGCTGAAATGTATGCAAAATGATACTTGTATAAAGTTATTTGATGTGACATATTTTTGTAAAAAGAGGCTCATGAAATTAATTTTTAACATCCATTTTATTTAACCCAACATATCCAAAACATTATCATTTTAATATTAAAATATTGATGAGATATTTTACACTCTTGTGGGTGCTAAATCGTTGGAATCCAGTGTGTATTCAACCTTTACAGCACATCTCAATTGGGACTAGCCATGTTGCAAATCGAAGCCACCTGTGGCTCATGGCTTCCATCTTGGACAGTGAGTGCAGCTCCAGAACCTAGACTGGCGTGGTGCAGTCCACGTGCTTTTTTCCATTCATGTAGCCACATCCTCTCCCTAGAAGACTAATACGGAGACAGGAATCCAGGATGTCATTTTGTGGTGGGCTGTTCCTTTACTGTAATTTGCTCTTTCTCTTTTCCCCAATACGCTTACCACAAAATTCTACTGGACATCTTGAGAGCGGATGAATGGATGGATAGATAGGTGAATGGATGGAAACATGAATAAAGATTCCCAGTTAACACGTCAGTAATTAAAGAAGACAAGAGACAAGGAAAAGCCTTTCTTTTGTTCTCTCCCTATGCTATGAGAAACTGAGTGTTGATAAGTGGTGTAGGTGTGTCTGATTAGCAAACATATATAAAGGATTAGGAAGATCCACATGTCAAAATTAATTTTACAATGAAAAGCAAGGTTTATATAAATCCATGAGTTTTTTAAAGAAGACTAGTTGGATTGGAAGTGATATTTCTAAATTTTGAAACTGACCTCATAGAGGGACCACCCAGAACTTGCCTCTGGTGCCATCGCTAATGACATGGCCCCGGTCGATGTGATTCCAGTTCTTCCTCTTCTGAGTGCTCAGGAGGGCACCAAAGGGAGCACTTTGGCTGTTACATAGTCAATTAGTAGTTAGTGCCTTAATCCAGCCCCGTTTTCTCCAGACCATGACTTAGTGGCCAGACTGCAGACATTTAATGTTGACTTTTCTCTTCCTGTTTTCCTATGAGGACAATGAGGCAGAGCTCTTGGCTTGAAATTAGTCAGTAGCTACAGAGCACAAACCAAAGACTTGTTATTTCTGGAACATGTTTAACCATAGCATGTGAATAATTAGAAGTACAAGGAATGACTCACTTGTTGAAAGACCTCTCCAACATCAACTCCTGTCTACTGAGCTATCTTGCCCAGGAGGTGTTTTGCACACTTTTCAGTCTGGTACCGAACGAGGGTGTTTGAAAGCCCAATCCTTGCCCTCCGGCGGGCCAGCAATTGTTCTGTACAAACCAGCATCTGCTCTTGCTGCTCAAAACATGGCTTCATGTTGGCAGAACCAAGGGCACCAGGCACTGGTTAGAAATGCAAGCTCTCAGGTCCTGCCTCAGACCTACTAGACCCCCATCTGCATTTTAACAAGATCCGAAAGTGAGTGCCGCATGTGAAAGTTTGGGAAACACAAAACTGTGTCTACAGCCTTGCTTGAGTAGGAGAAACTGTTTCATTTTCCATAAGGTCCCTGTCCCTCCCAGTGAAGAGGGTGGAGGTGGGGGTGCAACAGGCAGGGAGAGCAGTTGGGTAGAGAAGGGATAGGGATAGTCAAGAATCAGATCAGAGCAGTGAGGAGATGCCCCTTCCTGCGGGAGTCCCGGCACCCCAGGCACCCCAGGGCTGCGGGCTAAAGCACAGCAGGGTGGAAGCCCAGGCCAGGAGTGTTTGGAGATCCTGATTCACTGCTGGGACCCTGGCTCCAGGACTCCTGCCTGAATCCAGGGAGTTGGAAGACACAAACCCACTAACAGGTTGAAGTCTGTCGAGAGGAAAGAGTAAATCCTCCTGAACCTGCGGGGACATGTGGACTTGAGGCCACTCCCTGCTGCATCCAGAAGCCGGGTCCTTAGGGAGCGTTTGGCATTGCTCAGTGTGGTGGGTGTGTGCGCCTTCCTGACCCCTGGTCTGTTTGCTGTGACAGCACGTCAAGGACATCATCCTGCAGTCCAACCCGCTGCTGGAGGCCTTCGGCAACGCCAAGACCGTCCGGAACAACAATTCCAGCCGATTTGTAAGTCTCTTCCCTGCTTCGGGAAATGCCGCCTGGCTGGAGGTGTGGATACACCCGGTCTAAGTCCGGTGTCTCCAAGGCAACGGGAGCTTTCACATGTCATCAGGAGGCTGCCTTTTGCATCTTGTCTTCATTTTCTCTAGCGGCATGCTGTCAGGCTTCAATTTGCCCTTTAGCGGAAGTTATTTTTGAACCCCGGGATATAAATCAGCTAATTTTTTAATACAGTTCTCAACTTGAGTTGCCTTCCTAAGGAAAATAGAAATTGGTGCTGGAGGAGTTTGCTTTGTGCCCTGGAGGAAAGAGACCTTCTTTCCCAGACAAAGTAATAAGTAGGCTGGGTCCCAAAGCCTTTTTCTTTTCATTTATTTATTTATTCATTCATTCATTCATTCATTCATTTTGATTGATTTCAGAGAAGAGAGAGTCTCATTGATCGGCTGTCTTCTCATGCCCCCTACTGGGGATCAAGCCCACAACGTGGGCATGTGCCCTGACTGGGAATCGAACTGTGACCTCCTGGTTCATAGGTCGACGCTCAACCACTGAGCCACGCTGGCTGAGCCCAAAGCCTCTTGCTTTGCTCTTGCTCATAGGCTGGGTCTGTGGAAAATGAAGGGCTAACACACTATGGTCCGGCACCTTGTAGAGAACCCTCCTTCTCTATGTCAGGCAGAGTGAGTTGACTGCCTCCTCCCTCATAGGTTGGTGTGTTTTATGTATTTCATGTAACATAACAACACCCAAAATGATTGGACTTAACCTGATAGATTGCCTCCTGACCGGCCCACTTACCCAAGGTAATGAAAATGTCAGCAGAAGGCATTATGAATGCCCATGACAACACTTTTCTGTCTGAACGTCTTCTGAGAATTGAAAGGCTGGCAAGGATGAAAATAAATATATTCCCCTTGACAAGAAGCCACATTTCCAAAAAACAGTATTTGCCCAGTAGCTTTGATTTATGTAGATTTTTCGTCTTAGCTCATAGACTATGTCTGGCAGGAAAGCATTCAAGGAGCTATCTTTAAGGCGGATGCTGGACCATTTTAAAATAATTAAGTGGGAATTTGGGAGAAAGATGATTTCTTTTTTACCTTTCTGTATTGTAAGGAAGCTTCTATTTTCTAAGAGAATTCTTTAAGCTCTCATGCAGTGATTGTTTGGTTCCCTCGTGATTTATATCTGTCAGAATTGCCCTCATTTTCCTTGCTGTTCAATATTATTCAAACCATGTGTTCAGTTGTTGATCTGTCTTTTTTTTTTCTTCTTCTCATTGGCTGGGTCGTTTAATCTTGAAGAAGCTTCTAGGTAATGCAATAGAAAGAAGATGGGAATACACCTTCCACTTGACCGTTTTTTCCCCTTTTAATCTCAATCTTCCTTGTAAAAATGGATTTGACCAAACTTAACTCTCTTGCTACCAGCCCCCTTCTTTTGCTCATTTAGAGAGCAGAAAATAATTAAGTCAATAGTCCTCTTGATTTTTTCCCAATAAAAATTATTCTTTATCCTGAGACAAGGATGATACATTGGTCAATTTTTGTAAAACAAGACGAAAATATCCAGCAATTTATATTTTTCTGATTACAAAATAATGTCTTACAGCCCTCAAAAAAAGATGGGAAAGAGTATGGACGGGCACATTACACGTAGAATAACATCTAATGGGCATCCAAGGATGTTCCCAGGAATAATGAGAGAAATATAAATTAAAACCATTTTCTGTCTCTTAGGTGGGCAAGTATTAAGGAGATTGATACCAGAGAAAAGACACTATTGGTTGAAAGTGGACACATTTCTGCTGGAGGGCAACTTGACCATCTTTACCAAAATTGAAAATGTTCATTGTCTGTGACCCAACAATACTTTTAGGGCACAATATCTAAGTTCTCTGTTAATAATGACTTTTTAGAAAAGATATCCATAGTATATTGTTAAATAAAAAAAGGTTAAAGAACAATATTTGCAATATGGTCCAGTTTTCATTTTAAAATGCACGTTACATAAAACATTATATAATTAAGAAGAGGGGATCCAAGATGGCCATGAAGTAGGAGGGAGTTGCACTCACCTCCCCCCAGCACCACCTCACAATTACAACTAAATTACAGAACAATCAACCTGGATAACCATCTGAAGACAAGTTTAGTTGAACAGTCTTATAGCTAAGGATATACAGAAGAAACCACACTGGCATTTCTTAAAGGTTCACCAGGTCTTTCTAACAGTCGACCAAGGTTTGGAACCACTTCTAGAAGAACTTGAGAGTTTGCCATTTACAATGTCTACCCTTCCTAGATGTGATGTCCTGTTTGGTTTCATTCCCACCCCCACTTGATGGAGGTTACATGGATGGGCACTGAATCCTTCCCTCCAGAACCAGCTGAAAGGAAAAGATGAGAAGAATGGCCACATGGGAAGCGCAGGGGAGCTTGCTCAGCCAGCCTTTCCCAGGAACCACTGTACTGTAATTCAGGATAGCAGTGGTCTGTGCTCCCTCTCTGTGTCTGATGCTTCTGGGTGCTTGTTTTGGGGAGGGGGGTGGGAGGAGTCATCAGAGTAAGGCAAATAGGCCATTCGAGAGTAGCCTCCTCAGATACCTGGAATCGGCAAGTGACTTCCCAGGGACACAGCAGGTTCTGGGTGCTGGGGCAGTAGGAAAAATATGCCGTGTGCTTTTCTTGCCCTTAATGAGTTTACAGTTCTAGTCACAGACTTGCGGCCTGGCAGGATTCAGCCCTGAGATGGGTGGAATTCATCAGCATTCACATTTTTAAAATATTACATGTGAATACAGTTAGGCCGGGCATGCTTTCCCATGTGACCATAGGCCACACCACTCCTTAACACCCACATTCTCATCTTTTTCTTCATTTAAGTTTACTCTTCTACTAGTAGACCTTCTGAGGACTGGGAAGAAGCTAAATTCTAATGAAAGAGGGAAAAAAAGTCATTTACTTAACAATCTGGGCACCTTTTCCAGCTAAATTCCAAGGTTTTCTTCTCCTTTGTTCCCTCTTAGCAATAATTTAAAAGGAAATATTAACTACAACAGTAACAAAAATCTCCACACCCACAACTAGCTGGCGAGGACCTTCTTTATAATCAAGTGTTTTTATTTTATATAAGAATTGTAGATTCTCCAGAGGGTCAGAGGAATTGCTTTTGCTCAAAGTCAGCAAGATGCCTGTCAGAGGGAAAATCTGCTTCTTCTTAGAGGCTGATAGAGTTCACTCTCCTTAGATCAAAGGGACCCTGGGATTTTCTGTCCCATTCTTTACAGCTTCCGGCTTAGCAAGCAAACCCCTACTCGGGAAAACTGGCAAGGAGTGTAACATGTCCTTATTTAGTTGGACTAGAGTGGTAGATTCTCTTTCTCAATACAGAATTGTATGATTGGACAAGAGTACAGGCTATTGTCTGATTTAAAAAAAAAAAAGTCAGGAAATCTAGACCAGGACTGGGAATAATTCAGAATGTATCTAGCATTAATGAATTTCCTTGAATTATATGCTGTATCTAACGCCTATTTGGAACATCATGTTTTTGTTCACTAACCATTGAAGGAAACCCCTAACTTTCTTGCAGGGAAAATACTTTGAAATCCAGTTCAGTCCAGGTGGGGAACCAGATGGTGGAAAGATCTCCAACTTCCTTCTGGAAAAATCTAGGGTGGTGATGAGGAACCCTGGAGAGCGGAGTTTTCACATATTTTACCAGGTTTTCCTTTATATTGTTTCTTTCCTACTTCCTTATTCCTTCTCCACATTTAGATTTGCTTGTTTCCTCTCAGCAATCAGGTGTAGACAATCTAGCCTGTAAGCCAAGGAGCATTTATCACAATAGAATGTGTAAGTCAGCGTGCAGAGAATTGTCAGAACGAATGTCCCTAACCTCACAGGAGAGTAAGTTCTAGTCGGGGTGAGAAGACAAACAGAGTTAAGTAATCAAGAAAGTATTGATAAGACTTCAAAACAAAAGCTTGATTCTTTGCCAAATAGAAGTTCGTGTGGGGAGAATTGACTGGGGTGGGAAGGGGAGGTCTATGAAGAGGGTGCAGGATGACATGGAGGGGAGGCTGTGCAGGCAGGTCTGGTGGCCTGGACAGGGCACTGGAGGTGTGAGCGAGTCCTCGACAAGTTTGCAAGGGCAGAGTCTTCAAAATTAAAAAAAAAAAGTCAGGAAATCTAGACCAGGACTGGGAATAATTCAGTTATTGGACGAAGGACCATTTGTCCCCTTTCCCCTCTCCTACTTCCCCCATTGGCCATGGATCTTTAATGTCAGCTCAAAAAGTTTTGACTTAGACACTTTTATGTCAGCTCAAAAAGTTTTGACTTAGACACTCAGCAGCCGTGGAGACTTCAGGGCTAGAGCAGGTGGAGGATGCTTTTACACTGTGTTCCAGTCTTCGGCAGTCATCTGACTCAGCTAGTTTTAAAAATGTTTTTAACTATTTTAAAAATATAATGATACAATAGACAATATCATTATGTATGAGTTTATATACATTTCATCTATTGGGGATCCACATTAGATTTCTTTGAAGAAAGGCCTGCGACTATTTTTTGTTTTGCTCCAGTTTAAAGACCACTGGATTGGAGGGAAGTTATACTGTGTTGGTAGCTCCAATTCAGTCTTATCGATTACATAGATGTCTTAGACCAAGCATGTCAAACTCGCGGCCCACAGGCCGCATGCCTCATTTATTTGGCCTGTGTTAGCCTTTGAGTTTGACATGCTTATCTTAGACGATGGCAAACAATTCTTCCTGTTAGTTTGTTGGTTGAAAGAATACATAAATGACCAAAAGCTTTTGTGACTTCAGTAATGCTTTTAATTGTATTAATCAAAGCAACATGTACAGATGATTGAAAAATAATTTTGTATAGCACACACATAGTATATTATTTACTAAGCACTAGAGTGAAGTTCATAATTGTTTCCAGAACCCCTTTAAATAAATGCTGGCCCCATTCCCTGTGCCTCTCTCCACCCTCTCCCTTCCCCCCCCCCACCCCCCTCACCCAGAAATCCCCTGCCCACAGGTTGGAAACCAGCAGACTAGGGGCTGTGGAAGTGGTGAGCTTAGGGGAAGATGGAGGTAAAGATTCTGACATACAGTTAAAGCTGTGAATAGATGAGACTCCCGTGGGAGTGAGTGTGGAGAGAAAAACCATGTCTCTACAAGACTGGGGGCCTGCGGACGGTCTGCAGATTGAGCAGGCATTGGGGAGCAGGGGGTTAGTCAGGGGAGGAAAACCAGGAACCTGCAGTGTCACGGAAGCCAGGGGAAGCTCGGGAATGAGCTTCAGGATCAAATGCTCAGAGCTCTTGTGGGTAAAGGATGGGGCAGGGGTCTAGGGACCAAGAAAGGGCTGTTGGACTTTGCCACTGGAAGTAGTGTCAAGCGTCATTTCATCAGAATGGCGAGGGGAGAGGCCAGATGCAGGTAGTTAAGTCGTGATGGGAAAGTAGAGTCTGCAGCTTGAAGCTCACGGAGTCAATGAAATGCTTCTAAAGAAGGCAAAGAGCACGTGTTTGTAGATAGAAGAGAGTTGGGGTTGGGGGGGTGAAAATGCAAGTGAGAGGGGCTGTGCCATGTGGGTGGGGAGAAGACAGGAAGAGTAAGGAAAGTTTTTTCTCAGACAAAAGAAAAAAGATAAACAGAAGGGAAAGATAGGAAGAGGGTGGTACAAAAAGATTTCGAAGAGACTGGGAAGAAAACTAAGGGAAGCTGATGTCATGGGTGACCTGGGACTTCTCAGCAATGGAGATGAGGTTCCCTGTTTTGGGGCTGTGCTGCTGAGTTGACATGAGGAACTTGACCGCAATGGAGAAGTGTGGAGAGGAACCATCTCTATTTTCCTAAGTCCCATTGGGTTGGAGCCAGCAGAGGGCTGGAGCTGGCTTGCCTGGGCTGTGTGCATCTCTTTCCATCTCTTCCTTCAGTGACATTTTCTTAATAGTTTGACATCAGTCAGGGGAGGAGTATTTACACCATGGAAACTGGCAGACACTACAAATCCATTTTCTCCCCAAGACTTGCTGGTCAAGTATTTGCAGCACAGCACTGGTGGGAGCCCTTAAGAGGGTCTTGCTCGGACCTAAGGCAGATATCAGAGGTGGAACAAAAAGTGTGGGACAGTCATTTGCTTAGAGGTTTCAGAATGCCAGAGTGTGGACCTTCGGTGGCTTTTTAATATGCACCCTGCAGTGAGCGCACGGAGGGGCCAGCTGCGCTCTAGAAAGCCACAGGCCAGTTGAGCAGGAATGGAGAGGGATTATAACCTGGCTTGGTTTCCACTCTCCTGCGGGATCTCACCAGGGAAGCACTGCAGTCGCTCCCCGTGTTGGACAAGGGGAGCTGCTCAGGTCTTGCAGGTCTTATCAGAGAGGTAAGGACCAGCATGTGCAGAGAGGACCTTGGGCTATCAGCAGTAGAGCAGAAATCCTGAAGCCCCATCATATTTGGGGGGCGAGGACCACTGGTCATTTCAGAAAGCAGGGCTAGAGAGTCCCATCGCCCTTGTTCAGGGCAGAGGCAGCAGGAACCATGAGGTGCCTGGGACTACTTTGAGGTCGCATCACACCCACCCCACTGTCTCTTGTTCCAGCTCATCGAGGGCGCCTCTGCCGACCAGAAGCAGAGCCTGGGCATCACCAGCATGGACTATTACTACTACCTGAGCCTCTCCGGGTCCTACAAGGTGGATGACATTGATGACAAGCGGGAGTTTCAGGAAACTCTGGTAAGTGCTGGTGCGGGGCCAGGCGGGATCTGCTCGCGGGCAGGGCATTGTGGCTGGTAGGAAGGGCACTGAAGGTTAGCAAAGCCAAGAGCAGCATGAAATTTCCACCTCTTTCTGCTGTAAGCAGTCCAATTCGTAAAACACGTTTAAGCACCCTTCAATAGCCACCTGCCCAGCTGCCAGAGGACCGCTTAAAGATTTGAGACGGGCAATAAAAAAGGAGAGTGAACGTGCCCTGGCCGGAGGTTAGAGCAGTGGTTCTCAACCTTGGCTGCACATTAGAATCACCTGGGAATCTTTTTTAAATCCTGATTTCTGGGCCTCATCCTCTGAAAATTCTGTTTCTTTGTTATGGGGTGGGGCCACAACATTAGTAACAAAGAAACAGAATTTCCGGAGGATGAGGCCCAGAAATCAGGATTTTAAAAAGATTCCCAGATGATTCTAATGTGCAGCCAAGGTTGAGAACCACTGGGTTAGAGCGTTGTTCCACACACCAAAGGGTGGAGGGTTCAATTCCTGCTCAAGGACATATACCTGAGTTGCAGGTTCAATCCCCAGTTGAGGCATGTTTGGAGGCAACCAATCGATGTGTCTCTCACATTGATGTGTGTGTGTCCCCCTCCCTCTCTTCCATTCTCTCTAAAAACCAACGGAAAAAATATCCTCAGGTGAGCATTAACAAACAAACAAACAAAAATAGTGCATGCATCATTAACCCACCCCACCCCCACTCCCCTAGCCAGGAGTTCTGATTAGCAGGTAAGAACTGTTGTGCATAGTTTACCACATTTACCACACCTGTTTACTGGCAGCTCACACAATTGCGCTGCTTCCTTAGAAAGGCAAAGCAGAGCGCTCTTGGGACCTCAATCAGGTTAGACACCTGATTGAGTTTATTAGCACACCTTCAGACTTTTCCCCACCCACTTTCTCTTCACTCTGTACGTACAGGTCAGAGAGCCCTTCCCACGGTGTGTGCATTATAGTACAAAAGGTTACATCCTCGGGGAAACAACAAGTTGAGTTAGACCTTTCTGGAGGTGGGCCGGTCACCCATTTAGCCTCAAAGAGATGCATCGCTACTGCCCTTTGAGTCAGCTACCAGCCTGGCCCAACCTCAGCCCAGAGCCAGAGCCCAGTGGGAGACCCTGCAGGGCATTTGGAGGTACAGCTCAAAGAAAGTTAGTGTTGGTTCTTGAAGGGCAGGATGTATTTCCAGGGGCCAGGACAAGAGGGGACATCAAGAGGCCCCAAAGGAGCTGGCTGGAGCAATGCAGATGAGGGGCCTGCATTGGTTCTAGAGTAAATTTCCTTTGGAATATGGATATCAAAGACTCAAGCCTTTCAGCTGCTTTTATTCGATTTTATAGACCTCAGAAATAAGACTTCTCTGATGCTGTTATTATTTGAATCCCTGGAGATTTTTAACCGAGATCTTTTGCAAATACAATCTATTCTCAGTCCTCCCAGTGAAGGGAAAGGCCTCTGTGTGTATTTGGAGTAGCTGGACACGGGCACCAGTGCCCTAGGGGGAGAGGCATGGCACCAGGATCACACCAAGGGATGCGGACAGACTTGTTGACCGTGCCCAGCTGCTGCTCCAGCTGCGCGCCTCTCCTCCTGCAGCTCACTTGGCCCTTATCCTAGAGGGGAGCATGCTCTATTCAAGGACACACTGCCTTTCCAGCATGATGTTGAGACTTGAGAGAGATGCGAGAGAGTGCATTGGTCAGGGATAATGTCTGACTGGGACTTCCAGCTGCCGTCACTAGCTAAGCCACATATCACTGCACCACCCAGTCGAAGCTTGGGCTCCTGTGCTGTGTGCTTATAAGGTTGATGACCAGCTCATGTGAGTAATTTCTCTTCCCGCTTGCAGCACGCGATGAACGTGATCGGGATCTTCGCGGAGGAGCAGGCGCTGGTGCTGCAGATCGTGGCAGGCGTGCTCCACCTGGGAAACATCAGCTTCAAAGAAGTCGGCAACTACGCCGCAGTGGAGAGTGAAGAGTGTGAGTAGCCGTGGCACAGTTGTTGAACAAGGGGAAACCATTGTTTAGCTCCATCAGAAGTAACCCACCGCTTTCCTTTGCTTAGATCTCAACTGAGGTATTTTGGGGAGAGATGAGAAGTCTCGTGCGTCCTGCTGTGGCAGAACAAAAGGGCCTGTGAGTGTCCAGGCCTCTTCTGCGCACCTGCCCACTCCCCCCGCCCATCTCCTCCCGCCTCCCACATTAACTGTCCCAGAGTCACACCCAGAGACCATTCGTGAATTCATTTCAATTTATCATTAACCTTGGGGAAGCTGGCAGAATCTCACATCTAGGTTTAAAAGTAAAGCGATACTTTAGTGAGGATTAGGGTAATAGCCGAATAACTCAAAAGATTTGTCTCCTCATAAAAACCTTTTCTATCACTGAATCTTCAGGATCTCCATTCACCTAAAGGTCATGAAGAGCAAGTGATTGGATATATGTAAATATGGAAAGCTCACAGATTCAGTTTGCCCCATGGGTTGAATTAGATTGGATTTCTGAAAATGAAAAGAAAAAAAAGGACATTGACTATGGTGTTGATATTGGTAATGGTCACTTTTAATGGTCACCTCTGTAGTAATCAGAGCCTGAGGACCTGAATGGCCATTTTTACTCTTTGAGAAGGAATCAAGTCCTTCCTGCAAGACGTTATTGGTTTTGCATGGCACAGGCCCCCACAGTCACCAGGGCGTGTGACTGACTGTAGCCTCTTGGGCATCAGACGACTTTCCATCCTTTAACCACCCAGGAAGACATTTCTCCCTTTCTCAGCATTCTTCAAGGATGATAAATTTAGATGCTTAGTAATAAATAGTATCCCACTCATTGCTGACAATGCAGCAAGGCTATTTCCATTCCAAATAAGGTTCTTTTTATATTTTTGTTTTCTTTTGTGATAAAAAGGGAAGCTCTGCTAACTTCTGATGTCTGTCTGATAAAGAGCAAGAAGAATTATGTTTACCAGGGGAAGGAACGGGGTGGAAAGCAATAAATAGACAGGGTGTCCACAGAGTCTAGAAACACAACCTAACAATAATAATAATAACTATATTTCTAGACTTTGTGGACAGTGCCCTTCATGTTTAACAAATGCACGGGAGTGTTCGGGAAGCTCATTAACACTTGGCCTTTTAACATTGACAGTTTGGTTTCTGTGAAAGTCGACTAGATTTCTCTTCCCTCTGTGGATGCTACAGTTCTTTACTGCCCCTTTATGCTGGAGAACAAGGGTATGACTCTGGCACAGCTAGCATTTCCCCATGTGCCTGGGCCAAGAAGTAGCCTCCTCCGCCAACTGCGTGAGGCCCAGGATTGGCAGCTGCCTGTGGAATGATTGGCGGAGGTGGAGTGATGGGGATCAGGAAAGGCTGTGTTGGAAACCAAGGAAGTCCAACAAAGAAATGTGCCCCTTTTCCAATAATTTGTTTTCTGTTCAGTTGGTAAGACCTTAGCATGGTTCAGGGGGGTGCCCTGTTAAAGCTTCCCCCGCCCCCTGCACTCAACTGTTCCCTTCCCCAGAGGCTTCCAGTCTCTCGTATTCCATTCAGGGGACATGTGTTCCAGAGCAACTACACCACCCACTCATTTTTTCTCACTTTGTGCATCAGTGGGAACATAGAACATAATCTGCAGTTGCCTTTTCACTTTACATTATATCATGAAGGTTATTTTATAACTCACTGAGGAGCTTCATCCTTTTCTGTAGCTGCATAGCATTCCATTGCTTGGCTATATTTTAATTTAGTGAACTAGTCATCTGTTGATGGACATTAGGATCGTTTTGGATCTGCTGCTTTTACAATAATGAACGAACAGTACGAAAATGAATAACCTGGTTTGTGGTGTCTGTCCGATATTTGAGTATATCAGTGTAATAAATTTGTAGAGGGAAGAGCTAGCCCATGTTTGGTTAAGAGAAGAAAGCAAACTTTCTCTAGCTATCGTAGTGGGGGAAATGGTAAGATTTCCATCAGAGCTAAAGCAAAATAGCCATTAATAACAACAAATTGTATTGTTACGTTACCTAGACAAATGGAGCTATGGAATTTCCTGAGTCAAACCTTTACATTGCTGAGAAGTCAAACAAACCTCAACTTGGTCACATGTGTACCTGTCGTTATCAATAGCATAAGATGGTGTTATGGAAACAAGTCTTGCTCAAAAGATATTAAATCCAAATTAACCTAAGAATTTTATTGAAGGAAAATAATATGACATAAACAATGATGGGGAGTACAAGTGACCATGCCTCTCCTTTGCCCTGTTAACTGTTTGTTTGTTTGTTTATATTTTATTGATTTCAGAGAGGAAGAGAGAGGGAGAGAAAGATAGAAACATCAATGATGAGAGAGAATCACTGTTCGGCAGCCTCCTGCATGCCCCCTATTGGGGATTGAGCCAACAACCCGGGCATGTGCCCTGACTGGGGATCAAACCATGACCTCCTGTTTCATAGGTCAACCCTCAACAACTAAGCCACACCGGCCGGGCTAATATTTATTTTCAAAAAACTTTTTTACCTTGCTGTTTCTTTTAAAATTGTAAAATGGAATTTTGTTTTGCTGCATCTTGTCAGTTTCTCTATCTTCTCTACACTTCACATGTAAAAGGAAAAAATTAAATGTGACTTTTTAATGCACTAATAGAAATCTATCTTCATTATCAAAATGTGCTGAAACATTATTTTCTAGCAGGTTCTTCTCTGTTCTACATAATTCTGATTAACTATACCAGAGTTACATCAGCATTTTTAAATGAATCAATGCCCGCTCCCTCCTCTCCTTCCCCAAGCCTCTGTACTGCTCCGATGCAGTCCTTAGGCAGCCACCCTCCCAGACACCTCATGGAAATTCACAGCCTGAAGGAAGTCAGTATGAGCAGCCCTGTAATTTTAGTACCAGGGCAGCCACTGAAGAAAATGTGAGGTCATAAAAGGTTATACTTGAAAAACATGGCATGGACTTTTTTAAAAGCCAGTACTGGATTTCCTCTCTAGACTTCTTAGCTGTTTCCCTCCGCCTGTGGCTCTGAATCTTGGCCAGATTCCATGCCCTGTTTTTCGAGTGCCTGCGGTCCTTCACTTGTGCCCTCCTCTACAGAAGAGGTGAGAGCCATGGAAGTAGATAGGGCATGTTTCCTTTACAATCTTGTCTGTCTGTTTGATCTCAAGGACTACTTCTGTTTTGTTCCATTTCTTTAGCTGTGGTCATAAAGATAATGGGATATACTTTTTCACTAAATATTTGAACTGTGTCCCCATGTTAGCATGGTTATGGGCTTGGCAGGAGCTCATATTTACAAAACCAACAAAGTGAGGCTAATGATTTGTTGTATCAAACAATTCACTGTGTCGTTGCCATGAAGCGTGAGGGGTCCTGGTGAATTTACTATAAAACATTGACTACCAGTGTGTCAAGTGAAATACACGTGTGCCTGACTATCTGCCTGGTGACAGTGGTGACAATCAACATTGTAGCTTCCCTTGGTGAACCTCTTATACGTCAGACTCATTGGTAAATGGCTCTTGGTTCTCACAACAATCCTACTTGTGTCTAATCTGACTTACGGGCATCTGATGTTTTTTGCTCTGTACAAAGGTAAGTTTCTGTTTAGTGGGAGACACATCCAGGTTCCTAAACATACATGTGAACATCAAAACTAAACTAAAAGAGGGTGGGAGGAGGATAAAGAAGGCAAAGATTATCAGATAGATGGTGATGGAGAGAGATGAGACTTTGAGTGATGAGCACCCAATGTAATATACAAATGACGTATTATGGAATTGTACACTTGAAACTAATGTTATTAACCAATGTCACCCCAATAAATTTAAATTTAAAAAAACTAAATTAAAATCATCACTTCATGGCCTTTGCGCCAAGATCAAGTGTAAAAACTAATCTAAAGGAAATGGCCGTTGGCAAATTACTGCACTTGATTTATTCACATGCCCTTTTTAAAAGGAAGCTGTCTGCCAGTGGGAGCATTTCTGTGGAACACTCGCATAGATCATATACACCTTGTTCTGGCATTGCACTTTTTCTAAATGCATTCACTGGCTTCATCTCATTGGAAGGTATATCCTGAGAAATGTCAGCCTGTTCATTCTAACACCATCTGTGAAATTCAAACATTATTTTTTATTGGGAGGCTTGTGATTTTTGAGCATTATCATGATAAGGTCTTTCACAAAATCCTTTTATCAGAGAATTTTGGTAAAGCTTTATGCAGAAAAAGAAGACTCATAGTCCGGTTAAGAATTCTGATTTGTGTCCATAAAAATAGCGGGAAAAATCTGAGCATCCTTTCATGCCAAAGGATGGTTGGTGTCACTTATTCACATTAGAATGTTTTAACCAGAAAAAAAGAATTCCATTTATATCACTAGCCCTCCTCTTGCAGAGTTTCACAGCTGGAAACAGGTTGCTGAGCCTGGGAACCTCAGCTTTTCTACCCGAAAGCCACACACTACACCACTGTATGTCCTCAGGGTGGGATGGGCGTGCCGTGATGTGGATAATGCAACACCCTCCATTTCATTCCATACGCCTCGCCCAGAAAAATCTTCTAACACCCCTCTCCAGATGCCATCTAGGTCCCCTTGACTCCAGCCCGACCATCTCAGACCATTCAATGATCTCCACTATTGGAATTGGTCCTGACCTTTTAATCATCTACCACAACCTCCAGCTGTAGCCAATGTTGGTCTACTCACTGTGTATCTCAACCATGTCTCTTGCATTCCTGCCTCCTCACCTTTACACATTCCATCCATCTCTCTCATCCTCTGCATCTATACCTATCCTGTCCATTCTTTTAGACCCCACCCATCTTCCTCAATCACCCAAGCAAGTAGTAATATCTTTCTGTTCTAAATTCCCCCAGGACTTTATTATCTATCTGTGTCACAGATTTAGCTTTTATTTGGCAAACTACTTTTGCCTCCTCTAGGTTGTCGTCAGAGTTTCTTCAATAATTTGTGTCCTGTCCTCTCCCTTTAACAACCCCACACATGGTAACTACTCAAAAAATAAGTGGTTGGTTGTAATTATTAGTTTGATGATATCAGATGCTTCCAGCTCTTTGTGAATGATGCTATGAAAACACTGTACCAAAGAGGAAGAAAACAATATTTGGAGCCAAAGAAATGTTGCTTGATTTAGTTCCTTCTGGCTGTCTTGCTGCAAGCTTGGAGAGATGTCCATTTTAGGCATTCAGCTGTGATCTCAGTAGGGGGGATTGGTTTAATGCCACCCTTCCTGGTTAACTGATTTGTATTATTGGAAGCTCAGTCATCATAGGAATTGACTCATGTAATAGAATAACTGGGAAAAGCAAAGTGGATGGGTGTGTGTGGGATTGCTAATAGGCGGTCTTCACTAGCCTGCAAGTTCTTGGGACTAAAGATGGTGTCTTGTGTGTGTGTGGTTGTGTGCGTGTGCACACAAATGCATAAACACACACAAGTGCCTCCCTGTTTGTGAGATGCATTGTTAACATGCTTAAAAACAATCGAGGTTTATTTTGTTTTCTATAGTTTTGGCTTTTCCTGCCTATCTCCTGGGGATAAACCAGGACCGGTTGAAAGAAAAGCTGACGAGCCGGCAGATGGATAGCAAGTGGGGAGGCAAGTCGGAGTCCATCCACGTGACACTCAACGTGGAGCAGGCCTGCTACACCAGGGACGCCCTCGCCAAGGCCCTGCACTCCCGCGTCTTTGATTTCTTGGTGGATGTAAGTAAACATAGCTGACTTGGTGATGCTTCATATTGTAGCTGTCCAGAGGAAAACTGCTAAGGGTTTCGTGTTCATGCGGCTCACTCCTTCTAACCATCACCTGACTCCTCCACTTTTCACCCTCTCATCCTGGGGCCAGTGTATCCTGCTTTTACTTCTAGAATTCTCCACCAAGACACCAAGACAGTAACAGCTTCTTATGGATAAAACACAGGGTGGGGCAAAGGTGAGTTTATAGTTGTTCATATGGAAAATAATACAATAATTAACAAATAAGAATAAGGTGTGATTCCCGTACTCACAACTATAAACCTACTTTTGCCCCAGCCTGTATTTTATAGAGGCAGGACCGAAGGCCGGGAAAGGAGGAGACCCAGGATCATGAGGGGGTCTTGACTTTGAGCCTAAAGATTTAGGGCTGTTGTGTTTGTCATCTATTACTGTGTTACAAATTAGTCCAGAACTTAGTAGCTTAAAACAATAAACATTTATTCTGTCATTTGGAAGTGACTTAGCTTGGTGGTTCTGATTCAGGGACGAGATTGTGGTCAAGATGCTGAGGGGAGTGATTGGAGTTGGAGGATCTGGTTCCAAGCTGACACGCTCACACGGCTATTCGCAGGGCTCCTCGGGTCCTTGCTGCATGGCCCTTTCTTTTCAGCTGCTTGAATATTCTCCCAGCAGGGCAGCTGGTTTCCCCCAGCGTGGGTGATCTAAGAGAGAGCGAGGCAGAGTCCCAGAGCTTTTAATGTCCTTGTCTTGGGCTCAAGTATTGCCGCTCTGCAATATTCTTTACCTTAGAAGCAGGTCACTAAGTACAGCCCACACATAAGGGGAGAGAAATTAGGTTCCACCTTCTGAAAGGAGGCGTATCAGAGACTTTTTGTACAGTCGGCCCTCCACATCTGTGGACCCAACGAACTATGGATAGAAAATATTCAGAAAATTAAAAAATGTTGTCGCTGACTATGTATTTAGGCCTATGATGGTTGTGTCTGTACTTTCTTGTTATTATTCCCTAAGCAATACAGCATAACAACTGTTTACATAGCACTTACGTTGTATTAGATATTTTAAGTAATATAGAGATGATTTGAAGTTTACGAGAGGATGTGTATAGGTTATTTGTAAATACTATATGCCCTTTTATATAAGGGACTTGAGCATCCATGGAGGTTGGTATTCACAGGCGTCCTGGAACCACTTCCCCACCAATATCAAGGGATGTCTGTATTTTAAAACTACCACAGATTTTTTTTAATGATAGAATAATCATATATATGTGTGTGTGTGTGTATATATATATATCAGACATCCCTTGAGGTGTATGTGTTTGCATAATATTTGCATATATATACATATTTATGTATACCGCATATAGATCCTGGAAATTAGTCTTTGAGCCGTGTAGCACTGCCGGTGACAGTCTGTGCTAATCATTGCAGCCTGAGTGGGAGAATAATAATAGCAAACACTTATTTAGCACTTACTATGTGCCAGATACTGTTCTAAGTATTTTAGAAAAAAACACACTTATTTAATTCTTACCACAACCCTGTGACTCAGATAAGCTAACTGAGGCCCCAAGAGGTTAAGGAACTTACCCAAGGCCACACCACTCTTAGGTAATAGACCTAGGAATTAAATCCAGGTAATTGGGCAGTGATCCAGTATTCTACTCCTCCGCCTTTTATATGGTCAAGGCAGGAAGAACCCTCAGGAAGCCCAAGTCAAGGGCAGCAACATGGTCATTAGACCCTAGAAGTCTGCATGATTGGGTGTGGTTAGGGTTGGGCAGGGCAGGGCAGCATAGGGTAGTTATTCTGTGTACTCCTTGTGGCTAGTTTAAGGATACGATTGCTTGGGAAGGTCAAGGTCATGCCAAGCATTAGCCATGTTTTTAACGTGTTCAGACCCTCCTTTTACTGACAAGGGAATCTTTGGCCCCAGTGCTGGTGGAATTGCCCAGGGCCATTCAGCAAGAGGGTCATGCAGAGCCGGGACTAGAACCCACACCTCCTGTCCCTGTTCAGTGTATCTTCCAGCACTGGGCTTCCCACCTTATTTCCTTTCCATCTTTTCCCAATTTTGTGTGTGTTAAAGAGGGTGGATGCTCCATGTAAGTGATACTAATTAGAGCTGACAGTTACCAAGCACTGACTGTGTACCAGGTACTGAGCTAAGTGTTCTATATTAATACTCATTAGCTTGCAAAAGATGATTATCTTTTTCTTTTCTTTTTTTCCTGGAAAACAACTCTGGTACTTCAAGATTCATCCAGGTATTCACCACCTCCAGGAATTTTTCTCCTGTGTTCCTCCCTCCCCTGCAGTCCTCACTAACCCCCTCCAACCTACACTGCCCTCCTGTCATTAAGTCTGTTCCACTGAATTGCACATCTCTTCTCACAGTGATCGAGACCACAGACTTTTTTTATTATTATTAGTTAAGGTATTACAAATGTGTCCTCATCCCCCCCATTAACCCCCAACCTCCCCCCCCCCTCGCACACTCTTGCTCCCATCCCCCTGTTGTCCATGTCCATTGGTTTGGCTTATATACGTGTATACAAGTCCTTCGGTTGATCTCTTCCCCTTACCCCCGCCCTCCCCTACTTTCCTTCTGGGGATTGATAGCCTGATCACTGTTTCTCAGTCTTTGGATCTGTCCCTTTTCATCAGTCTATGTTGTTTTCTATAATCCACAAATGAGTGAGATCATGTGGTATTTATCTTTCTCTGACTGGCTTATTTCACTTAGCATAATGCTCTCCAGTTCCATCCATGCTGTTGCAAAAGGCAAGAGTTCCTTCTTTTTTACACAGCATAGTATTCCATTGTGTAGATGTACCACAGTTTTCTAATCCACTCATCTCTGATGGGCACTTAGGCTGTTTCCAAATCTTAGCTATGGTGAATTGTGCTGCTATGAACATAGGGGTGCATATATCCTTTCTGATTGGCGTTTCTGGTTTATTGGGATATATTCCTAGTAGTGGGATCACTGGGTCAAATGGGAGTTCCATTTTTAGTTTTTTGAGGAAGCTCCATACTGTTCTCCACAGTGGCTGCACCAGTCTGCATTCCCACCAGCAGTGCAGAAGGGTTCCCTTTTCTCCACATCCTATCCAACACTTGTTGTTTGTTGATTTGGTAATGATAGCCATTCTGACAGGTGTGAGATGATAACGCATTGTCGTTTTGATTTGCATCTCTCGTATAATTAGTGACTTTGAGCATGTTTTCATATGTCTTTCGGCCTTCTGTATGTCCTCTTTCGAAAAGTGTCTATCTAGGTCCGTTGCCCATTTTTTTATTGGATTGTTTATCTTCCTTTTGTTAAGTTTTATGAGATCCCTGTAAATGTTGGAGATTAAACCCTTATTGGTGGTATCATTGGCAAATATGTTCTCCCATGTTGTGGGTCTTCTTGTTGTTTTGTTGATGGTTTCCTTTGCTGGAGACCACAGACTTTTAAAAAAATGTTTTTTAATTAAAAGAAGAACATAGACTTAGGCATCGTCCCACTTAAATGTAATCCCAGGCCCTCCCTCTTGCCCAGTGTGATCTCAGGGATTGCACTGTGATCACTATTGGTATGAGAACTGCAGTGAGAATTAAAGGACCCGACACATACAAGGCACTTAGCAAAGTCTGGAACAGGTGAATGTTAAATATACGGAAGCTGCTCTTATTAACATCACTTTAATGGTAATTACTGGTATTATTAACCGTAGTTGGCTCACCCTCTCTATAAGCTCCTGGCAACAGAGATTGTCTTCTTGACATCCCTGGCATATTGTGTTAGGTGATCATTAAATGATTAGTGAGTGGGGTTCTTTATGTGAAATAGATTTTACTTCGATCATCCGAGATGACATTTTCTTCCAATTCTCAAGACTTCCTGAAGAAAACTAACTCTGCCGGAATTTAATGGTTTTCATCATTAAGCAAACATTGTTTTTTCTCCTACCATAATAGTTTTCTGGGATTCTGGTGGTTTCCCAAAATACTTGACATTGCACTGAGACTTCTTTTTTTTTTTTAACAATTCGTAGTATTCTTTTTTTTTCCATCACCTATCCCTTCTGTGCCCTTGTCCACTCCACCCTGTAATCAGCACACTGTTGTCCATGTCCATGAGTTACCTCTCTCTCTCTCTTTTTTTTTTTTTTTTGCTCAATCCCGCCACACCCTCCAGCATTCCCCCTTCCCCCACCAGAGCTGTCTGCCTGCTCTCTGTCTATGAGGCACTGAGACGTTTTTAAAGCTGTAAGTCACTGTCTTGGTCTCTGTTTCCAGCAGGCACTAGTATTTGCTGTGTGTAGTCTATTTGCTGTGTGCAGGATTGCTTCCCTCCCCCTCTGCATGTGCAGGAAAAGGAGTTAATTGCCATGCTGCTTACTTTCTCCTAGTCCATCAACAAAGCGATGGAGAAGGACCATGAAGAATACAACATCGGCGTTCTGGACATCTACGGCTTTGAAATATTCCAGGTAGGACCAGTTTAAGTCATTGCGGACTGGGGAGGGTGATGCATTTCCTCTGGCTTGAAGAAATAATTAATTCTAGGCAGTGAAAAAAAGAACACCCCACTATGGCCCAATTTTTGCCTTTGTGAGTTCTTTGGGCACCGTCACCAAACTAGTTTCTCCTAAGTCTAAACTACGCAGCCTTCTCCTGATGCCTCCAGCATTTCTGCTAAGGCTTGTCACATGGAAGCATCTCACTAAATCACTCAAGAATTGTCTTCGAAATGATTTTGCAGAAATGATTAATGTAAGTAACTTTTTCTTTTTCAGAAAAATGGCTTTGAACAGTTTTGTATCAATTTTGTTAATGAAAAATTACAGCAGATTTTTATTGAACTGACATTAAAGGCCGAACAGGTAAGCATTCCCTCTTCCTTCATCGTGTTCTCCTAATTTGTTTTCTTTTCAAGGGTGTAGACTTCTCTTTGGATAACAGCTTCAGATTTGAGTCTTGTCTTAGGAAATGTCCTTAACAGTGTCAGGCAGACAAACCGCATGCCACTGGGACCCTTCCGTCTGTGAAATAGAAACACCAGCTGCTACATTTTCTTCCTCCTTTGAGCAAAGGATGCTGTGAAGTTGGACTTGGGACTGGCTGCTTCTGCTCTCTGACTCATTGACCAAGTGCGAAATGGAGACCTCGTTCCAAACCCTTTGTCTATGGCATCTCCTGTGAGCCCAAGGAAAAGCATGGCTTTCTCAGAGCTGCTTTCCTCCCAATTCTCCCTAGAAATTAATGTGTCTTTAACAAAAGTGGGTGTTTTCATTCTGGCTTGAAGAAACATGTCTTGCTTATCGTTTCTTCTGAAAGGCCAGCGCAGGTCCCTGTATTCTGGATTCCGCATTGTGTGTCGATTCTAGGGTGTCTGTAACAAAGTACCACAAACGAGGTGGCTTAAAACAACAGAGATTTCTCCTCTCAGAGGCCGGTATCAAAGTGGCACCAGAGCGTCACCCCTTTCAGAGGTTCTGGGGGAGAATCCTTCCTTGACTCTCCAGCTTCTGGTGGCTCCTGTCCTTGTTTGGTGGCAACATGACTTCAGTCTCTGCCTCGGTCTTCACATGGCCTTTTCCAGTCTGTGTCCAAGTGTCTCTCCTTTCCCTGTAAAGGCACAGGTGGTTGGATTAGGGGTCACCCCAAATCCAAGATGATGTCTCTTGTGGGGTCCTTATCTAATTGTATCTACAAAGATCCTATTTCCAAACCTCACATTTTGAGATTTTAGGGGACATGTTCAACCCACTCGACACATGAAAGGCTGTTTGGGGATGTTTAGTCATGGAGCGTTCACGCCTCTGCTTGGGAGCCCCAGTGAGCAGAGGCGTTCACATAAACCTCTGGCCTGGAGGTCTCGCCTTCCACCACCTCAGAACAGCTAGGGAAAGCGTGGGGTGGGCTGAGACGGGAAAAACTGGGCAGCATTTAGATCATATAGGAACTTTGTAGGGCATGACAGAAAGTGCAGAGTTTACAGCAAGTAGGATAGGAAACCATTGCAGCATTTTGAGCAGAAAAGTGACATGGTCTGGTTTGTGTTCTGTGTTTTTGAAAAGGTCACCACTCTAGCTTTACAGACTTACAGAGTGGAGTGAGACGGGAAAACTAAACAGGAATGGAAGTTTAGAAACCAATTAGGAGACGATGCAGGAGACTGTACAAGACAGGGCGGGAGCTTAGACCATGGTCTATTAGTAGGGGTGGTGACACGGTGAGAGGTGGTCAGAGTTAGTATACATGTTAGAGACTGAGTCACCATGATTACTCAAAATAATTAGCAATAAGCCAAGAAGGAAAGAGGAATTAAAGATGATTTCTGCCTTTGTAGCTTGAATAACAGGGCCAGTGGTGAGACCATTTACTGAAGGATATGGTTAGGGGAGCAGTTGGTTGGAGACAGGGGGAATGTAGAGTCAGAACTCTGCTGAACAAGTTACATTTGAGAGGCCTATTGTACATCCAAGTGCAGATTCCAAAATCAAATACATATGAGTCTGGAACTCAGTGGGGAGGTCTAGACTAGAGAAATTAATACAGAGGTCACTAGCCTATAGGTGCTATTTAAAGCCATGAGATTGATTGGAATCACCTAGAGAAGGAGGCTTGAGGAAGCAAGACGGCTGGAAGATTGAGCCCTGAGAGTCTGCCTCCTATAAAGATCTGGAGAGATGCTAACAAAGCAAACCTGGGAGGAAGGAGAAGAACCAGGAGAGTGTGCTGGTGTCCATCCAGTTAGATGAGCCCCTGGCCCGAGTGAGGGGCCTTCCCCTTAAGTGCCTCGATGCTAATCCATGCTGCTGTCCTATGTTAAACTCAGAGATTATTGTGAGACAGATCTGTAGGTTTCACCATATTAAATGGCCATTTTTTGAATGTCAGAAATGCCTGTGTGGTAATGATTTCATATGGTTCAAACTCAATAAAAATTACATTACCAAGCAATAAAATGTTGCTTTTCTAACCTCCTTAGAAAAAAAAAATTAAAGTTTCAAGTTGTTGTCAAAAGGCATTCAAGTTTTTCTTTCATGGTGATTTATGTGCCTTTGATATCCATATGTGTGGAGTCCAGCTACTCTTCACTGGGTAATCATGTGAGTTCCCGCTTTCTGTCCTACAGGAAGAATATGTTCAAGAGGGAATAAGATGGACGCCCATAGAGTACTTCAATAACAAAATCGTGTGTGACCTCATAGAGAACAAAGTTGTAAGTATCAGTCTGGTGTGTATCCTCACTGCTCACAGATTTGCATTAAGTGCATTTTTCTCCTCTGTGTCGTTATTTTAGAATAGGCAAGGTGACAACTCTGGTTTGCACAGAATTTTAAAAATTACATTTATTTTGTGTATATATGTATGTTAGCAAAAGAGCAATAGGGTTTTATTTTTGTAAATACAAACGTGAACATGAGTAAAATGTCAATTTACAAACAGGAGTTGTTACTGAATTAATTCTATCATTTGTGTTGATGGCTTAGTGCATAAAAAGACACAAAATTGGCCCACCTTCTAGACCATTCATATAACTTCTAGGACTTGAGACCTTGAAATCATTCAAAAGAAAACAAAAAGGACGTAGACAGAGATCTCTACAGTACCATTTTTGTTTTCGTTGTTTATAAAGCTCAAAACTGGAAACAGTGAGAAAGTCCATAGACAGTTCAGTCGTTAAGTAAACTACAGCATATCAGAGCACACACAGCCATTAAAAAATAACTATGAAGACTATATGAAACTTGATGATTGTTTATTAAATAGTGCTGTGTGGATAAAATGTGTACACTGCACAACTGTGTAAACCATGCCTATCCTAAAGTGAACATTAAGAAGTGAATTAGAGCCCTAGCTGGTTTGGCTCAGTGGATAGAGCCTTGGCCTACGGACTGAAGGGTCCCAGTTCAATTCCGGCGAAGGGCACATGCCCCGGGTTGCAGCTCGATCCCCACTAGGGGGCGTGGAGGAGACAGCCAATCAATGATTCTCATCATTGATGTTTCTATCTCTCCCTCTCCTTTCCTCTCTGAAATCAATAAAGAAATATATTTTAAAAAATATGTTTTTAAAAAAAGAAATGAATTAGAGCAGCGGTTCTCAACCTGTGGGTCGCAAACACTGAAAATACATCCTGCATATCAGATATTTACATTACGATTCATAACAGTAGCAAAATTACAGTTATGAAGTAGCAACGAAAATAATTTTATGGTTGGGGGTCACCACAACATGAGGAACTGTATTAAAGAGTTGCGGCATTAGGAAGGTTGAGAACCACTGATTAGAGTCAAGGAAAATGTTTTAATTTTTCTTTTGGGTTTTTTATATCAACTTAATACAAATAAGATTGTGCAGATAATGATCTGTGTGTGACTTTGAATAGAATTTCAGGGAGTTAAACCATTTTTTTAAAAAATGGGCTTTTCCTCCATCTTAGATCTAAGTGATGACTCCCATTTGGGGTTATTAATGGTATTCTTGCTCAAAGGGAAAGAATGACTTTCAAGATGGTATCTGGAATCTAGGGAGCTGTTGTTTCCTTCCTTAAGGAAAGACCCGATAAGCATTGCATGTATTTGGGAACAATCATTGAATTGGGGCTTTGGCTTCTTGGTCCCATCAGAACCCTCCTGGGATCATGAGCATCCTGGATGACGTGTGCGCCACGATGCACGCGGTGGGTGAGGGGGCGGACCAGACGCTGCTGCAGAAACTCCAGATGCAGATCGGGAATCATGAGCACTTCAACAGCTGGAACCAAGGCTTCATTATTCACCATTATGCTGGGAAGGTATGGCCAGCAAGCCGGGGTCAACAAGAGAGGGGAGGCCATCCTTTCCAATGTCTACCTGTTTTAAGCCACTGGGTCTGTCATCTGTTTTCTCATGAGGCAACTGAAAACAGTGTCCATATAGTTTCATCTGCCTCACTGTGCTTTATTCATTCAACATGGATTCATTCATTCAACAACATGGGACCTAGGAAGTGTGTGGGGAGGTAATACAAAAGACGGTATACACTACTTTGTCCTTTTTAGTCACGAATCACCCTGGTACATGTCTTGCTTCTTGCTGCCCTCACAAGCCTTCATTCCTTACCTGCCCATGTCCACTGGAAAGAGAAATAAGGACAAACGCTCACATTTGGTGTTTGTTCTCATAAAATACATGACTATTGGGTGCCTCCTGGGTACCAGCTTTCTGTGGGTGCTAGTGATACAAAGATAAGTAAGTCAAGGTCCCGATATTTAGGGACTTCCCAGTCCTATGGAAATCCGCTGGTCTCACCTTTCATCCCAACTAATCTTTAGCATGTTTTTTTTTAGCTGAATTGATCCAATTCTGACACCATTTGTAAGGGAAATGCAAAGCCTTGGATGACAGGGCCCATTGCAATGGATTAATGAGCATAAGAAGTTTTTCATTTTATTCTGTCTTAGCTAAAATTTATGGGAAAGAATTACGTTTATTACTTAGACATCCCTATGAATCTATTGAAGAAGGGGTGTGTGAGACCTAGATCCCTGGGCCATATAGGCAGCCAAACACCGTTCATCAGCATCCACAGGCCATCACCAACTAAGAAGCTAACAAGTAAGATATGCACAGCTTTAGTGTGACGGTTCATGATGAAATCTGGAGCTAGGCACATTCTGGTAAGAATAGCCATGGCTACTTGGCTATTTTTTTTTCTTCAATCAAATACTAAAAGGATAAAATTGGATTTCCTTCCATTCTTGAACAGGTATCCTATGACATGGATGGCTTTTGTGAAAGGAACCGTGATGTGCTTTTTATGGATCTGATAGAGCTTATGCAGAGCAGTGAGCTGTAAGTGTGTTTCCGCTTATCTCACATGGGATATGGGTTTGATCAAATTTTCAATATGAAACTTGTGGAGTGGTCAGCATTTCATTTCTTTGAGCTGGTGGGTCTGGGTTAACATTGGACAATTTGGTTTCTCAAAATAGCTTTTCTTTATCCAATCTCAGCCCCACCCTTGTATCCCTAACACTTCCCACCCCCGAATTGCAAGCGTAATCTGCATGCCTTTCAGGACCCCTAGCTTCATCAGTTTCAACACTATTATCAGGGAGAGGTGGCCATCCTGGGGTTGGGCTGGGATGGCCATGACTGACCACCTAAGAGTGGAATAGTCTGGTTCTATGATACTCTGCCCTTGATACGTCATCCCAAGAATTTTTTGTGGTCACTCAATATTTTTAATGGCTTAAAAAGACCCAAGTTAACCTGAGTCCCCGAAGGTCTTGGGTAGTGGCTCCAGAATTCTGAGAGGGACAAGTCAAGAGGGACTGCCTCAGAGACCCATTTTCACCCAAGACCCTGTCGAAGCTATAGAGTCAGAAGCAGTAGAGGCTTCCCCCTTGCAAGCTGCTGGAGCTTTCAGGACCAGCCCTGCTGAGTCCGTTTCTCCCCTCTCCTCTGTGAAGGGTCCCAAAGTCCTGGGTCACAGATCTGGGACATGATTTACATGATCAGGGCTGCACATGTACAGTATTGCACAGCCTTCCAAATTTACAATTTTAGAGCTGCCTCCAAGTAATAGTTGCCCCGTTAGGCTGTGTTACTTAACCTGTCATAGTATCAAGGATACCTTCCCTAACCCACAGCAGCCAGCCTGACATTTTCCTAAGGAAGGCCCCACTACAATGAAAGCAAAAACCAGTATCCTTTTCGGGCCGTGGCCAGCTGTGTTCTGCTCCATTTAACCCTCTTCCCCTTCCCCCAGCCTCCCACTCCTCCCGGCCCTCATCTCCACATGCCTGCACTTCCTTGCACTCACACCTCCCCAGTTTGGAGATTCTGAATTTCTTTTCACTTGAAAACACATAAAATCTCTTAATAGTTCAGGGGAGCCACCAGCCCTGTTGGTAGGTTTTATAACAGCCAGGTGCAGACAAGCTTCTGGAGGGTTGTGGTTGTTTTGTTTTGTCTGAAGTATTAAAATTACTGCCAAGTTTGAGAGCTATCAATGCTTCCATGTAAACTCTTATCCGGTAGACATGGTCCATTGTTTATTAAACACATTTCCTACAAAAATCTATAATTGCGTCTGATCAATTTAAAAATAGATTATAGGATTTCTAGAAAATTCAAGATGCCAAAGAGCCATTTAGGAGGCATTGAATTTGAGTGTCCGATGGCTCATTTACGTGAATCACTTTATTCACTGAGTCAGTGAATATTTATTGAGCACCTACTGTGTACCAGGCTATGTGCCAGACAGAAGGGGCACTAAGGTGTCTAGGACATGCTGGCATCGAATGAGCAAAGGCCACTGATGCTGTGAAATAGACTGCAAGATGTGGGACAGCCCCCCATGACCCCCATCAAAAAATTATCCAACCCTGACTCCCAAGTATCGATAGTGCCAAGGTTGAGAACCCCTGCTTTAGAGCAAAGCAGACCTGCATTGCATCCAGACAGTGTGTACAAGTCCCTGCGCCCTGGTCCGTCTGTCTCATCCTCGCTCAGCAAACCCACAGTGTGTGTCCTATTGTCAAGGTGCACCTCGAGGCCAGTAAGGAGGGGGACTCAAAAGACAGTGATTTATGATTTGTCTTTCAGGTTTGAACTCCAAAATGCTTATATCTTAGAATTTTTTTCTGTCTTTCTTGTTCTTCTTTTTGGTTTTGGTTTTTCGTCTGTTGCTTATTTCCCCGGGTCACATCTTGATGGCTTGTGCTTTGAGTCAGATGGCCTTTCTGTAGCCAAAGTCACATGCTCCTCTCCATTCCCCGCGGAAGCATGCTTTCAGCCTCCTCTGATTGCTAATCCATTCTCTTCTCCTTTTCCAGACCTTTTATAAAGTCTTTATTTCCGGAAAATCTGCAAGCTGACAAGAAAGGGCGCCCAACTACTGCCGGAAGCAAAATAAAGGTTTGTTCTATTCGGGGAAGTTTATAGATTCCTATAAAAGGCAGGGTTTTCTAGGGGTCGTGAACGGCACCCCTGAGCCAGGATGAGGTCAGTGCGATTAATGGGCTGCTTACAGATGCCCAGAAGTAGTGTCGCTGCCTGAGCAGAGGTTGCAGGATGTGAGCTGAGTTTGACTTGGCTGCGCTGAAACCCCGAATGGATATTAAGTACCTCAGAGCTTAACAGTCAGCAGATGATAATCAGCTACTTTCTAAGAGGAAACGGCCTTAAACTGAACCTGAAAGAATTCACATTAAACTATCAGAGAAATTTTATGATTCAGAGCCACATTATGAAGTTTGATGACCATTTTCCAGACCAGACCCCAAAACTTAACCAATTATGGAACTTTTTGTACTTGAAATTCTGCTGGGTTTAATAGGGGCAATTCGTCCACCTCCCTGGATCTTGAGGACTCCTTCTTTCTGAGAATTACAGGCACATCTGGCCCTGTGGTATCTCCAAGTCAGAAGGAATTCTTTGTGTGTGTGTGTGTGTGTGTGTGTGTGTGTGTGTGTGTGTGTGTGTGTTTAATTGATTTTTAGTGAAAGAGGAAGGGAGAGGGAGAGAGGGAGAAACATCTGTGTGAGAGTAAAACATCAATCAGCTGCCTCCTGCACACCCCCTGTAGGGGCAAGAACCCATAACCCCGGGCATGTACCCTAACCAGGAATTAAACCCATAACCTTTGGATGCACAGGTCATCACCCAACCAACTGAGCCACTCGGGCAGGATCAGAGGGAATTGTTATTGTGTTTCTTGGGAGCCCCTTGTTATCTGAGCCAATGTGTGGCAAATTTAAAGGTTGTGTCAAACTTAATCACTTAATCATGTGATTCTTCGAGAAATATTTACTAAACTGTTTTTTAAAAATCATATCAGTTGTTAGAAATAAGGTGAGCCCCAAAACAAGGGGTCCTGGTAGGACACAAAACATACTCGGGAGCCAGGCAGCAAGGCAAATATCTTTCCTCCTGCAGGAGGGTGGGCAGCACACAGGGCCTGGCAACACTGAGCAGGCGGTCTGCTCGGGGCTTTATTCCTGATGTGAGCCATCTGTCCCTCGCTCTTGATTGGTCAGAGCTTAGGCTCACATTCTCACTTGATTGACTAATTTAAAGGAAAAAGGGAGGCGTTGACCTTTGCCATTTCAAAATGGCAGTTGCCTAAACTCCCTTCTTTAGCAGAAAAGATTACTTGTTTATTCTCACATCAGTTAAAAACATTTTTTTAAAAATCATACCAGTGCCCTTGCTGGTTTGGCTCAGTGGATAGAGCATCGGCCTGTGGACTGAAGGGTCCCAGGTTCAATTCCGATCAAGGGCACATGCCTGGGTTGCGGGCTGGGTCCCTAGTGGGGGGGGCATCCAGGAGGCAGCCGATCAATAACTCTCATCATTGATGTTTCTCTCTCTCTCTCTCCCCCTCTCCCTTCCTCTCTGAAAGCAATAAAAATATTTTTTAAAAAAATAAAAATAAAAAATCATCCTAGTGAAGGCCACCCCAATTTTATAAGTGATGGGATCACAACAGCAGGGCTCTGGGGTTCCATCGCTGTGCTCACATCACAGCTTTGGCTTTTATTTGCTGTGTGAGCGCAGGAAGTTACCTAGACTCCCACTGCCTCTGTTGCCTTATCTGTAAGATGCAGATCTTAGTACTTATCTCATGGGGTACTTAAATTCAATAATCCATGTAGGGTATTTAGCACACTGCCTGAAACAAAGGAACCCATTGCCCATGGGAAGATTCCAGTCAAGGGTACAGTCCTCTGGGATTAGGGGCAATCCTGTTCAAAGAACTGGAGAAATTGAAATCTCTGGATTGAGTTCCCTGGAGCAGAGCATTGAGGGCAGAGATCGGATGCAATTCCCCAGAGGCCCCAGATATTAATGTCTCATGAAGCCTCTGACTCATGCCTTCACTTCAAGGATAAGGATTAGCTCTGGGCTGGAAAATCCAGTCACAAGACTATCACATTCAGATCCAAGGGGCCCGGATCATCAAGGTTGCAGTGACTCACTTTCAAGCGATCTGGATTCTCAGTGGGGCTTATTTCCTACAAAAAGGAGGGTGGGGTTAAGGGCCTTTTTTTCTTCTTGGAAGACTTGATTCCTCTTCCTTCATGTTCTTGTCTAGTTGAATGCTCAAAATTGCCACCTTCTGGCTGCACTCACAATGTTCAGGATGTCAAGGCTTGCTTGGTATTGTCTGGGGTGGTCATCCTGAAGTCAGTGAGCTTATCTAGGGGGAACTTACTGCGCATATTCTCACCCCCGTGGCACCCTCCTGGGTGGACTATGGGACCTATGTCTGTCTGATGCTCTGCCTCCACGTTCTCCCTGTTTTCTACATCCCCTCTGAGACAGCATGGCTCTATTTCTTATACCTTCCATATCCACCATATTCTGCTGCTGTTAACTATTGTCTTAATGATATCTCTGAGATTTAAGCATTTAAAGGGATCCTGAGTTCCTTGGAAGAAAAATTAAATTTAAGGTAGTTTCAGTGTTGGGCATTTTGTTGTATTCTAATTCTTTAAAATTTAAAACTGATCTATAGGATTTAATTAACAGAATATGTGTTTGGTGAGCACTCCCATTATCTTGTTTATAAGTAAGAGTATTCTATATTTAATAACACGACGCCGAGGCTTCACTAAATTCTACCTCGTGGCTGGAAGTGACCAACTTTGAAATGAGAGCCAAAGATGGATGCCATAGGGAAATGGACTCGAGCTCAGAGCTGCAGAGTGGCCTGGACCGCAGCTGCATCTAAGTGACACTTGGCCTCTAAAGGCGCCGATGTGACCGTCGCAAGCACCATGCGGTGATTGGACTGGTTGACTTTTACCACCTATTCCAAACTTTCGATTAAGATATCAGTCTTCAAGTGCAGCCTACTTAGTGTATAGATGGGGAAACTGAGGCCCAGAGAAACTTAGGGACCTGTCCTGTAGCTTGCAACTCCCAAAGCAAGGACCCCAACTCAGGCTTGCTAATCATCTGTGCTGAGGGTTCACAAGGAGCTTTTGCCCTAAGCCTTTTCTCACTGCTCTGCCTGCAGATTTTGACTCGAGCTTCTATTGGGCAAGTGCCTTTGGTAGTTCATGGACTCATGGACTCTTCTTGCCTGGAGTCAGGGTCAATCCAGTTCCTGCTTCCCCCTAACCACTTCAGGGGCATCTGAGGTTGACTCACAGCTAGATTCAGGATCATTGCAATGGTTAAGATAAGATGCATTCCTGTTTGCTAAAATGGGGTATCCCCCAGCCTAAAGGCTCTGTCTAATCCTGGCTAATTCCTTTCACATCTCACTGAATTCCCCCATATCTTCCTCAGGGAGGCAGGGTCACATTGTGGTTAAGAATCAGGCTTGGTAGCTCACAGACTCGGATTCAAGCCTCAACTCTGCTGCTTACTAATTGTGTCATTTGAAGCAATACTTTATTTAAGGCCCCACTTTCGCGTCTAAAAAATGGGAATAATAATAATAGAGGCTGCCTCTTAGAATGGTGAGGCATGAATGAGAAAATCCATGTGTCTAGCCCATGATGCATATTCAGTATTGTTCTCCATTGCTATTTTGAGCTAGAGAGAACTATGTCAGGTGGCACAGAAACTTAGTCACACTTGCCCCTGTGTTTTCTTACGCTACAGTGAAAAGAAGATATCGGCCATTAAATGCTTAGGACTAAAGAGTCTGCCAAGCTATTTTTGGAAATTAAAAAGTTTTAATTAAGTAAAATTTTTTTAAAAAAATCAAAATTAAAGAGTTTGGGGACTTAAAAAAAGAAAGCTTTGCTATAAGCAGTCCCTCCCCAGCTTCAACTTATATGTTGCAAAGATCATCAGCTCTGTTCTCAAGTACTATCTATGTCAACAAAGATCAGAGGCCGTTCATCTTTTCCTCGTAGGGCTTGACTTTGGTCATGTGACCTCTGCAGCTTTGCCCTTGACTCCCAGCACTGCACAGACCGCTGTATTCCGCACATCTAAACAGAGAGCCTGGTTCAGCAGCAAACATCTTGCTTTGAATACACCCAAGAGCATTTCTCAAGGGTTTCAGATTTCCCGGACCCACGAAAACAGAAAAGCCCTCATCGAGAGAGGGTGGTGTCCTGCAGGCACATCCCTTCTGCTGACTTTGTCATGGTTTTCTGGCTCCGGAGATCCCTTTTCTCTAGTTCCCTTCAGAGGTTTTCTCTCTTCACACTGAGTTGCCTGGAGGGGGAATTTGCATGCCTGCCCCGTCCTGGGACCCACAGGGCGCGCTCAGCTGGTGGTGTGGATGCTGATGTGGGCTCTGCTCCTGTGTCTGCAAACTACAGTCATGATACTTATGACTTGAAATACTTTACCAGCAATTTCAGCTTTATGTGGCTTCTTCTGCTTAAACCCAGTTCCACTGGGTACCCCCATGCGAGGGCGGTGAGAGACGCCTTCGTGTTGACCCTCTGAGCTTTGTGAAGGTGGAAGTTACCTCGCAGACTGAAAGGGCGCAGAGGCTGCAGGGTTGTAGAAGGACGTGCTGAGGAAGCAGTGAGTGGAACAGCATATAAAAGGTTTCTAAATTCCGGGATTTTGTGGATCTCACACCGTTCACTATGAATTTCCATCACCTTACTAGGTGATGCTTTATTGGTTGTGTTGCCAGAAAAGAACGTACAGGGGGGTTTTGATGATTAATCCTTGCAAATAACTTGCCTCTCCACCCCTCCCCCCAAAAAATTGAAGACAGTGTACTATACTTGTAAAATTAACTTAATTTGTTAATAACTGGCATGCTTCCTTGTTTCTCATTTTTAAAATTGTATGTGAAGATTTTTGTGTTTGGTTGGTTGGTTTTATTAACTGTACTAAAAAGGCCTAGTTGCTTTCAAAATTCTAATTTCAAACCCATTTGAGAGTTAAAATCATCGTAAAAGTCAGTAGAGCTTTAAGAACATGTGGTGGACCTGAGTTAAGCCTAATGAACAGATTGTCATGAAGATTAATTTCTAGCTATATATTTCCACACTCCAGTTTCACGGGCCTCCTTTGAAAGCTGGTCTGCTTCAGAGAAAGTCCCATGTTTCTAACTGATGTTATTCTTCCTTCCTAGAAACAAGCCAATGACCTTGTGAGCACCCTGATGAAATGTACACCTCACTACATCCGCTGCATAAAACCAAACGAAACCAAGAAGCCCAAGGACTGGGAGGAAAGCAGGTATGTGAAGGCGGTGGACGCAGAGGGCCCAGCCAGCTTCCGGGGCCCTGGCACATTCCCTCTTGTCCTCCGCCAAAGGCAGAGCCGTTTAAACTACCGTCAGATGTGTTTCATGTCCTGTGTCTTTAACTTTTCAGGACAAAGACTATATATATATATTGTTCCCCTCCTTGCCCTTTCCTAAAATGTTAGCAGTGCCTTTCGGTTCAGAATTAGCCATTTATAATGTTTATCTTGGCTAGTGTGGGGGCAGATGGAAAAAAAAAAAAAAACCACCCTTCATACCGCAGAGTCAGGATGGTTTTAAAATTAGCCTGAGGCACTGTGTAGACATTCCTAGTAGCTCAGCTCCTCATCGGCACCCACAGGATGTGGCCTAGAATGCTTAGCTCGGGGTTGAAAGTGAAGGTCCAAACAGCTGGTTAAAAAGCCACCCCTCGTTTACTGTGGCTCATGAGGATGCTGGGGACACGCTCCAGCTCCTGTCATTCCCCCCGACTGTGCTGATGGGCAGAGTGACCCTGGGAGGGACCACGCCCGAAGGAGACGAGTGGAGCACAAGGTTGTGGTGAGCCCAGTCCTGCCTGACTTCTGAGAAAGCTACTCACTCACCGGCCCACAACTGGCATTTGGGGGCGTGGCCTATGCGGGCTGGAATCGGGGTGTCGAGTAGGAAAATAACCAGAGAATAGTTTTTGCATCCACCTGGGGGACCCAGGCACACAGTCCCAAGAGGCCTGACCCCATGTCCATAGGAACATGGGAGGCAGAACTGGGGAGAGACCTTGTGAGTGGCTTGGACTGCAGAGGACCCCACCATTGTCCTCAGATAATCATGTCCCTGGTCTAGGGCATACCTTTTTCTTTACTCTCTTGGAAAAAAAGTAGATAGACTCTTAGGTATCGAGTGACTTAAAGTTAAACGTGAACAGGAAGACCAGGATGAAAAGTCACAGCTGCTAATTACCTCCTCTGAGAGAGGGGTGTAGGTCCATTTCCCACCCTGCCAGCAAGATCCTTTCTAGCCCACAGCAGACAGATAGCACTTAATCCTTTGTGTACGTTACGTGCCATTGAGTCCGCTCTGACTCCTGGTGACCCTGTGAGTGAGGGGTGCCCACAGTGTCCTGTCCTCGACAGCCCTGCTCAGCTCTGGGAGACTCAGGACTGGCTTCCTTTATGGAGTCCAAGAATGTGCATTTTTAGGGAGCTCCCCGGTGATGCTGGTGATGATGGGCCGGCATCATACTTGGAGGACAGCTGGTCTGGAGCCAAGGACTGGACTGGGGTTTTGAAGACCTGTGTCCTGGTGCTGGCCTGCCGCCTAAGTGAGACACTTCATCTCAGTCCACAGTTTCTTCCTCTGTAAACTAAGGGTCGATCAGAATGGGATCTCCTGTGGTCTGACAGGTGAACGCTCCCAGGTCTGTTCCCCGTGTCCGCCTGCCTGCCTCTGTCTGTCCCTGTGTCACTCCTGTGCTCCCCGTCATGTTCACCCGCATACACACCACACTCATGCGCATGTACACACGGTGGAAGTGTGGTGTCATAGGCAACCTCAGAAATAAATTATGCAAGTCGAGAGGTAAGACTAAAGGGTGCTTTAGTCCACCCATCCCCCCACTTCAGATTTCATCCGGCTTCCCTTCTCCAGCCCTTCCCAACAAACATAATCTTAAACAAACAGAATCATAATCTCAGTCACCCTGCAAATGCAATACCTCCCCAGCACACCACCCCCTACCCCACACGTAGCAGTCGTAGAGCTTTAAGACCCTCTGCTGAAAGTCCCTCTAATACAGAGATTTTGCAATAGCTACTGGTGGGAGGTTCCCCAACCCTGATGCTACTGTCTCGTGAAATCCAAACCGATTCACTGGAATATCAGAAAATGGAGAAGTTAGGACAGTGGTATATTTACTCAATAAATCCTCATAGAACTTCCTCATGCTGGGTTTTTTAAATCACACCCCGTATTCGACTTGCCGCAAAGAACTTCATGACATACATTCATGTCAACTGGTTTTAAGGACTCTGAAGTATTTGTTGGTCAGGTGCTGATTGATATTTTCACTAGGACTGCGTCCTGGGGTTCCCCCATCCCGGGTCAGGTTTAGCGTGTGACGGATGGTTTCACTTCATCCGTGAATGGGGCGTGCAGGGGCGCAGGAAAGGGCAGTGTGTGGAGATGACATGGTCAGTCGAAGCCCTTGATGCACAGGATTACTCATTCCACAAGTGTATGGGGTGTGGTTTATTTTTCTTCTCCTGTTGCAAATGTGTTTTTGTTTGGCTCTTGCAAAGTTGCCTGCCCTGGATTCTGAATTGCTGCCCTAGCAGGGTTCTCAGGCCTTGACCTACTTGTGTTAATGGCCAAAGACATTCAGGAAGGGGACTGCCCTACCTCCCTGAGGGAGGAGCTAGCACAACGAAGGGACAAGTGGGCATTGGCAACCGGGCTTGTGTTTACTGGGGAGGCGACAGCATCCCAGGATATGCAAAAATGAAGTCGGATGCTTTGATTACATGAAATCTTAAGCATTACAAAATTTCCTAAACTGATTGTATTAGAGAAAATTTCTATGAGAAATTTCCTGGTGATGGAAGTTAAAATGAAGGAAACCATGTTTTAACATGATGACATTTTAAACCTTACAAAATTTGCTGAACTGCTTGTTCTGTTAGAGAAAATGTCTCTGAGAAATTTCCTGGTGATGGAAGTTATAAGGAAGGAAACCATGTTTAACTTGCAGTGATCCAGGTTTCTACTTGAATCAATGGGCGATGCATTCCCTGCCTCAGAAGCTTGGGGTGATGCCAATATGTTTTTTTAAGATTTTTTTTTTTTAATATGTGTTTATTGATTTCAGAAAGAGGAAGGGAGAAACATGGATTGGCTGCCTCCTGCACGCCCCCTACTGGGGATCGAGCCTGCAACCTGGGCATGTGCCCTGACTGGGAATCGAACTGGCCTGGGCGCATGGGTCAACACCCAACCACTGAGCCAGACCAGCCGGGCATGACACCCATATTTATGAAAAGTACTTAAAATGAGCAACTGTCTCTCACCGGCAGCCTCTGTGTGTTTTACTCGGTGCAGGAAAGGCCAGGGGTGACTTTCAGATTCGGAGCATGGGAAAAAGGAAAATTACTTTCCTGAATCAGATTCCTTCCCCTTAAGCAGATACGTGTCACCAATCAAATGTGGATATTAACTCTTTATATGAAGGGATTTTTAAAGTTAATTATTTCTTAAAGGGGCTGACATTCCTGGATGCTGATTCAAGTAAGACATGAGACATTTGAAACATCCCTCACTGTGTGGCTCATCCTTCCCAGAGCAACCAAGGCTCCACCCTCTTCCAGCTTAATTTCCCCACCTCCTCTCTCCCCACTCCAGGACCCAGGTCTTTCCATCTTTGTGCCTTTGTTTTCACTGCCTTTCCCTCCCCTGCCTGATAAATTCAGCTCAGCCTTCCAGGCCCCGGCACATGTCACCACTTCTGAGAATCCACTCGCTATGAAAACTTCATTTCTTTCTCCATTCTCCTGTCCTGGTTTACGTGTGGTAGCTGGGACTCCATTTACATAACAACAGCTTTTTTGGCTCATGCCAGGAGCTGGCTGCGTGCTCATGGAATGTACCCAATAGGAAGCAAGAACCAACATCACTATTCCCATCTTACAGAAGTGGAAACTGAGGCACAGAGGACTCGCACCGTGGCAGGGGTGTACCTGGCTCTTGACCACTGTGTCATCTGTGAGGTCTCCAGCAGGAACCATCGCTGGCGCCTTGCATAGCATGGTGCATAGTGGCACATGCCAGTAGTGGGTGCGAGGCCGTGTTGGACATGGTGGGTTTCATGAGAGCCTTGCTCGGGAGACAGCTGTGGGGAACCGATGTCAAGTCGCAAGGAGCATGCTGCTCGCTGCCCTGTCTGCACAGCAGATCGTGAGGGGCCCATTCCCTTCATCTCAGTGCAGTGGTCCCCACATGTACTAAATGGGGGAAATGGGGAGTTGCCTCCATGCCACAGCAGAATTCTGTCATTCATCTCAAAAGAAAGAGGAAATTTACTTTTTAGTCCTCATTTTCACATTTCGACGTGTCTGTATTAAACCAGTCTGCACACTCTTCAGCAAAGGCCCTATTTGTCTCCCCAGAGGGGCCCATCAGAAGCTAGTGTCCAGGATCTTCCCTCGGCTTCCAGGACACTTTGCTCTTTGGGGTGGGAGGGGTCACAGTTCCCATGCTCCTGCACCACCCAGACACCGGGCCACTGAAGCAGACGCCAGGTGCAGACACGGGCACGGGGCCTCTCTCTGGTGTGGAGACCCCTGTGTCAGAGCATCCACCTAGTACTGCCCTGCACCCGTTTCCCAAAATACACTGCCAGGGCTTCACTACTACAAAACGGAGCTAAAAGTATAATTTATATACTTTTTAGAACATTTTTAACTTAGACATTTGAAATTAATAGTTTTATATGCCCTATCTGGCCTCATATTTAAAAAACCTAGAAGGGTAATCTCACTACCTGTAGAGTCACTATCAAGGTTGATAAAGACAGCTCTAGCGTCATTTAATTCAAGTTCTTTCCTTTCGTCTTTTGAAAAACAGATATTTTGTTCACAATCTGTGTGATAGGTATATGGCTTTTTGCCTTACTGTCTTTTAAAATAGATAGGTAATATCTCTTCTGTAATTCATAACAAAATATTTTTAAATTAATATTCTATAGCCTGAGGGTCAGCTCAGACTTGAACACTGTAAGCTGTCGTCTTTTTAGTATGTTTCCCTGCATCTGAGATGTGGGGGTGATGGGGCTGGTGGGTAGGAGAGTGAGTGAAAGAATTATTCAGTGATGCCCTGCCACCACTGTCTCCTTTATAGGGTAAAGCACCAAGTAGAATACCTGGGTCTGAAAGAAAACATCCGAGTGAGAAGAGCTGGTTATGCCTATCGGCGCATCTTCAAAAAATTCCTGCAAAGGTAATGAACTGTGACTTTGTTTTAAATAGGTTTATTGAGATATAATTCACATATCGTGCAACTCACCCACTTAAAGTATACAGTTCACTGGCTTTTACTATAGAGAGTTGTGCCTTCGTCACCACAATTACCTTTAGAACATCTTCATCGCCCCAAAAAGAAGTCCCAGTTCCCTAGTCGTCAACCCCCAATTAGGAGACACTGCTTTCTGTCCCTGTAGATTTGCCTGTTCTGGGCACTGCATGTAAATAGAGTCATACAGCATGTGTCCTTTGTGTCTGGCGTCTTTCAGTTAGCGTAATGTGGGTTTTCTGTTTTGTTTTGTTTTTAAATATATATATTTTTTTATTTCAGAGAGGAAGGGAGAGGGAGAGAGAGATAGAAACATCAATGATGAGGGAGAATCCGCCTGCAACCTGGGCATGTGCCCAGACCTGGAATCAAACCGTGACCTCCTGGTTCACAGGTCGATGCTCAACCACTGAGCCACACTGGCTGAGTGAAAGACATTTTCTAATTCAAACTTCATGTACCAAAGGGTATCAGGCTGCAGTAGAGCTTAGTTGTGTTTGAAATCCAGTACATCTAACAAAGTAACTTTCCCTTCGAGGCTGTTGTTTCCTGTGCCGTGAGGTTGGGAAGGCTGCCCTACCGGTCATCTGTGCAGGTCATTGGTGTGGGAGGTCAGGAGAGGCTTAGCTAAAAGGTAGATCATTTCATACAATAAAGCCTCATTGGCTCTGTTGTTTCACATTCAAGTGTTTGATAATTTTGGTGGAGGATTAGCCTAGGAATAAATTCATCCTCATGTCTCTATAAATTAAAGGGGCCACTCCACCTATTGTGTGAGCAGAGCTGTATGAAAGGAAGTGTGTAGGAAGCTGAGAAAATAAATTTGTAGAGCTCTTGCATTGTTATAGCAGCATCCCTTTGCTGACAAACAGCTGAGATGTTGATTATGAAAGACTTTTTAACCAGATCGGTAACACTAGCTTTGGCCGAAGTTTCTCAGCCTCAGCTATGGACATTTGGGCTGGAGGAGTCTTTGTTGTGAAGCCATCCTGTGCATTGTAGGATGTTTAGCAACCTTCATGGCCTCTACCCACTAGATGCCAGTAGTGTACCCACCCTCCCCCCTCCTCCCCTCCCCCTCCCCCCGAGTTGTAACAACCAAAAATATATCCAGACAATTACCTAATGTTCCAGTGGGGGGTGGGGGGCAGAGCCAGTTAAGAACCATAGCTTATATAATCATTTACATTTTTGCAAAACTGCATTTTTACAAAATACCCTTTTCCAATTAAGAGAAAACAAATGCAGAAAATAGTGAATGAAAAGTGTTTCCTCCATCTTTCCCTAATTCAGAAAAGCCTGCCACAATAATTCCAAAACATTTATAATTTTATTCCCCAATATTTTTCCTGTACTTAAAAACTCTCTGATCCTTGCAAATTCTCTCTGATTGGCATTACTGTTGAAAAATGATCAAATATTTTAAGCATCTAACCTTGATTTTTTTTTTTTTGAGAAACCAATTCTGAAAGACCTCCTTTCTTCCATAATATTTAAAAACAAACAAGCCAGCGAACCTGACTTCCATAAGCAATGCTGTGAGCTCGCAGCACTGGGACCAGCAGGAAATCCACGCTGTCCTCACAGGAATGCCTGGGGTGCCCTGAGCAGGCTGTGGTACTGTTTGCAGCAGCTCCTGAAGCGAGCTGAGACATGACCTCCTTGGTTATAATATCCCGCCCTCTCTCAGGGCCATGCTGGCTTCATGAACCCAGAGTAGACACAGAGTAGACATTGAGATGATTCTATCCTAGGTGCCTCCCTTCTTAGCTCTTCTGCTGTGGGCTTTTCCAATAGAAGAGACAAATGGACAGCCTTGTCTTGTGAAAAGCAGGCTTCATACTTCATGTGATTTGAGAAGACTAGGAGGATGATAAATTTTGGGAGGAAATTTATTTTTCAATAAAAAGTACATTCTTAGTCTCCCACTCAAAAAAGAAGGCCGTATATGTCAATGGGCAGACAGTTTTCCATTCGATGTGTGAGTCTTGGGATCCTGGTCATAACAGAGTCTGCCAGTGACTGTCTCAACATGTGATCCTCTGTGAACCATCTCCTACCGTCACTCTCTCCATGGCTGAGAGAAAAGGCTTTGTGTATAGAGTTATTTTCTAGGTGTCCACAGAAAGGCTGCCCACTGAGAAACAGAAAGCAACTGAAGGGAAAGAATGTGTTAATACCCAGCACAACTATCCACATGTGCATGCATGATACACTCTCCTGGGAAGGAAGCCCACAGGTCTAAACAGGCCAGTGGTTCAGACACCACCTACAGCTTAAAAAAGAGGAAACGGGAGCATTTGAGGTCTTGCTCCCCGGCATATGTCGTCAGTTTGGCTCAAATAAACTCTTATACAATTTCTCCAAAAAATCAATAGGAAACAGGGGCTTTTTGTGTGTGTTCATTATCTTGCTGGGGAAGAAAATTCTTTATATTTATCAAATATAGCCCACTTGACTGAGAATTGGAGGCTAGTAATGCCTTAATTTTCCCACCACTGGGCCATGTGCTCTGGAAATAAATCCTTCACTGTTTTAAGCAGTAGAGGGAAGATTCCTGTTTACCACTTGTTTAATACAACTCTCGTGCCTTTAGAAAGTGTCAAAAAGCTATAATACTATCAACAATAAAAAATATATTTAAAAAACAAAATAAAAGCCTGCCAGTGTGGCTCAGTGGTTGAGCATCAACTTAGGAACCAGGAGGTCACGGTTCATGGTTTGATTCCTAGTCAAGGCACATGCCCAGGTTGTGAGTTTGATCCCCAGTGTGGGGTGTGCAGGAGACAGCGAATCAATGATTCTCTCTCATCGTTGATGTTTCTATCTCTCTCTCCCTCTCCCTTCCTCTCTGAAATCAATAAAAACATATTTTTTTAAAAAAAACTGTGAGAAATGGCAGGCACTTTGAGTCTCAGTTTGGGAAAGTATTTATAAATCCTTAGAAAACACTTTGGAAGAAATAAGCCTACATGTGGATTCTGAGTCTTAGGAAGAAAAATGTGGTAGAAATGTAAGAGACCTGCAAAATTTATCTTATAGCACCACATCCATACTACCCGTGACCTTGACCCAGCCCCTCGGAGTGTGGGTTTGGAAAAAGGATGCTTATGAGCAGCGGCATTCCATGTCATGGGCAAGAGAGAAGAAAGAAGAGAAGCTCAGGAAAGCGTGAAGTGTAGAGAGCCTCCCGCTGGCTGCCAGGATTGTTGTGTCCTTGGGGAGCCAGAAACTCTCTTAACCCCAAGTGCCAGCGGCTAGAGGTCCCTGGGGTCGGGGCTGCGTTTCCTCTGGGGAGGAAACACTGGGCTGGTCATCTGAGAGAGAACAGGGAGCCTGCCCATCTCTAAGGGCAGGAAGAGAATTCCAGGCAGATAGGACAGCTGGTGCAAAGGCCTCGAAATGAAATGTTGGCATATTTGAGTCTTAAACTGGAAATACTTGATAGGAGGAGTATAAGCCGTTATGCTCATCTCTCCCAATGTTATCACAGGCACCAATTCGGCAGTGCATGCACCACTGCCATGTACACCTGTTCCCATGGTGTATCCTGGAATAAACAAGTGAGCTGGGTGTACTTACTTAGTAAGAACAATTGTACCAGAATTGCATGCCCTGGTCTCTCCAGTGAAAGAAAAGGAAATGAGGAGACTGCATCATAAAAGCAAAGGGGCCCGGCACAGTGGTTCAGGGTATAGTCATGTCTTACCCAGACTCAACTGTTAGGAGGCCTTGCTGGGAAAAAGGAGAGAAAGTCTCTGCAAAACGAGTTCCTTACTATAAAGAACCAAATGCGAGATATAGCATCATTTTAATAGGGGGAAATGTGAATTGCAAGGAGCTATTATCTATTTGCAATTGCACAATAAAGACACTTTAGTTTATAGTTTGTATTTGACAATCCAGGCAGAATTGCACTTAGAAACTTGTCATCCTGGAGGTCTGTTTTTTTTTTTCTTTCTCACCTGTCCTCGGCATGGGCTTCTCTCCCTCAGCCATTTAGATTTGGGGTACTTTGCCTCTTTTCTACCAGGTCCCCCTGTGGCATCTAGAAAGGCTCTGCTGTCAGTCATTTCTATGTGGCTTTGTTTGTTTAATTGACTTCATTACACCACATATGAAATGTATTTGTGCTCATGCGTGGCTTTAACAAGGCATTCTCATTTATAAGCTTTTTGTCTTTAATATGGAATAGGGGGATTTGCTTCTCAGGAAATTTATGACACTATCAGCACGATGTGAATATTTGGGCGGAGCAGAAAGGGTCCCTAGAGTCACCTTATTCCCTATCAGCTGGCTCTAAGGGTGTGATAATTCCTGGTCTGTCCTCTTAGGGAGCCCGGGATCCTGAAGGCAGGCACTCTTCTTGCCAAGATTCCTTTCTCCCTTGGATGCCACAAATCAGTATGAATGATCCTGTAGCCGCTTCTCGGGACAGAGGAAGGATTGCCTTCTAGAGGCCTGGGGCTCGTCCACTGGCTGTACTCTAGATACCCTGCCTAGAGACCACACCTCCACCTTCTCACCTGTATGCTCCTGATTTCTCCTTCCAACCTCCTTCTTTTCACCTCAAGTCTTTGGTACCTTCTGTATTTGACATCCTGTAATGTGCTTCTCTCTCCTCTCTTATGGCAGCCTCTCATGTATGGCTGTCTAATATTTCTAACATAGACACATGTAGAAGGGTATATAACTCTTTAAAAGAAGTGCTTACACATCGGCCAATCTGTGGTTTCTATGTAGTGCCTTGAGTAAAGAAACGGATTGGGGTTCAAATCCCAGCTCTGACACTTACTACTAAGCAGCCTTGACGAGTCTCTATTTGCCCGTTTCCTACTCTGCGAAGTGGAAAGACCAACCTGATCAGGTTGCTGAAGAATAAAATGAGATCATACATTTAAGTATCAAGAACAGCACCTGCTCCACAGAGACCTCCCCCTGTGAGCCATTCACATTAGCATCACTGCTGAGGGCCAGGCATGCTGGGAGGTGCCGGATGTGCAGCCTGAGCCACACACGGGGGCACCCACTCATGGAGCTCTGGTCCTCGCGGAGGAGGCATACATTAACCAGATAAGCACAAGCATGAATGTAATTCCAAATGATGATGCATGGTCTGAAAGAAAAAGGTTTTATCTGAGAGAAGTAGCAAGGCAGTGCTTTTGCGTGGGTCGTCCAAAAAGGCCTCTCTGCAAGTGTCACTGAAGGGAAGTCGCCCTGAGCAGGAGCGGCCATGGGAGGAGTGTGGAGCACAGCACACCTGGTGGGGGGACAGCAAGGGCAGAGGCTCTGAGGAGGGAGATGGCTGCATGTGCAGGAAGAAGAGGCCATCCTCCCAGGAACATGGGAGCCGAAGGGAGAGCAGAGAGGAGCCTGGAGACTAGCCTGGTGACTCAGAGGCACAGACCTCCAAAGATGACAGTTGGCACCTCATAACAACAGCAGCTGCTTACAGGGCACTTTGTAAAACTCCGCAGCAACTGTTAGGTGCTCTGAAGAAATCAGGGGAAATCAGTGTTGAGAAAAGACCATTTGATTGTGCCCGAGGAGTACCATTGGTGACCTTCAGCAATGCTGTCTTGAGACAGTGATAGAAAGGCAAAGTAGCCCCAGCCGGTATGGCTCAGTGGATAGAGCGTCGGCCTGCAGACTGAAGGGTCCCGGGTTTGATTCTGGTCAAGGGCACATGCCCGGGTTGCAGGCTCGATCCCCAGTAGGGGGCTTTCAGGAGGCAGCCAATCAAAAATCATTGATCTCATCATTGATGTTTCTATCTCTCTCCCCCTCTCCCTTCCTCTCTGAAATCAATAAAGAAATATATTTTAAAAAGGAAGGAAGGAAGGAAGGAAGGAAGGAAGGAAGGAAGGAAGGAAGGAAGGAAGGAAGGAAGGAAGGAAGGAAGGAAAGAAAAGTAGATTTTCAACAGGGTGTTATCATGAAAATGGCCAGAGGGGGAGGGAGGAGGACGCATCCCAGACCCAGTGGACTTTGCAGCTGTCGAGATCCATCCCTAAGCCTTAAACGGTGGTGAATGGGTCGCCTGGACCCAGCAACACCAGGTGCCTCTGGGGGGCCGTGCAGCCCGGGCCTGATCCCTCTCTCCCGATTATCCTCACAGGTATGCCATTCTGACCAAAGCCACCTGGCCCTCGTGGAGAGGAGACGAGAAGCAAGGTGTCCTCCACCTGCTGCAGTCCGTCAACATGGACAGCGACCAGTTCCAGCTCGGGAGGAGCAAAGTGTTCATCAAAGCGCCCGAGTCTGTGAGTGTGCGCCGACCCTCCCGCAGCACGGCTGGCTTCCTTTTCTCGTCCTTAGGATCTTGCCTTAACGTAGTCTCCTCAAAGGTTTTCCTCCGCTCCCAATCTAAGCATGGCTCATTCCCACACCCCTGCTCCCTAGCCTTCAGAGCGCTCAGCATGTACAGAAAATTACCATCATGGCCCAGTTTCTTTTCTTAGTGTCTCTCTCCTGTCCTAGATGGGCATCTCCTTGAGGCCAGGACTCTTGCCTGCTCTGTATGCCGTTGTGTCCTCAGAGCCTCACATAGAAAGCAGCTCGTGGCAGGTGCCCACTCGTGGTTTATCGTGTCCAACAGTCTGAGCTAAAAGGGGCTTATTTGTCCCACCACAGAGGCTTAGCTAAACCCACCTCCTCACCTGGGTTGACAGCAAATAGGCCCAGGTTTCCTCCTTGAAGGCAGAGCAGGGCTTGGGGATGAGAATCCCCAGACTGCCTCTTGAAGACCAGGAGGGAGCCTGGACAGGACGGTGAGGGGATAGATAGGTAGGAGGAGAAATCTCAGGGTCTATAGAAATTCAATATTTGCCTGTAAGGAATTCAAACAGTTTTGCAATTCACGGACTTCTTTATCTTTCCTGGTGCGGTGTGGTCACTGTGAGCCCAGTGAGTAGCCGTAAGAGATTCTCAGTTGAGCAGAGCCCCTCCGTTCTGCCCAGTGAGCTCTGGGCTGAGGAATGGAGTGTTGCTTTTACACTGGAGAACCTGCTGGAACTAACCAGGTTTGGCATCAACATTTCTTGAGGTTCCTGTAACAGTCACAAGACTGCATTTCAGGGGGCTGCGGTGAACTTGGCAAAATTAATCATTCAGTCGAGGGGAAACTTGCAGCGTTGAGAACACGAGAACTTGCAGTGTTGGTAACAATGGCAACCCTTGACTTCAGTCAGATGCTGGCCTGGCGGCGCGTTTTCTTCCTCTTTGGAAGAGGGGCCACGGCTGCTGTTCTGCCTGCCCCATAGGATCAGCCTGACACCCACAAATGATAAGAGCTGTGAGTGAATGGCTTTATGAACCATAAAGGTATTAAATAAATAAATGGCACCCATCAATAGAGCCCTTTTATGAAAAGTTTGTGGTAGCATTTTCCACTCTGAGTTATTTGTAGCTTCACAGCGACTTCATTTCCAAATATAAGATGAAAATGTTGTGTCATGCACCATTAAGCAACCCACAGAGCAGTTCCTGTTCTTTCTAAAACGGGACGGGGTGATGGATCAGTGCAGTGCGGAACCCCTCTGTCGGCTCATGCCCGCTTTTCCTTTTTCCGCTTGTTAAATTTTCACATATAATTAAAACAGCCTCAATATTTTGCATACTTTTTTTTTTCCTGATTCAGTGGAGCTTTGAGGTTTTCGTTCCAAAATCAAGATTTATTTTTGGTTTTTCTTTTCCTTGTCTTCCTCCCAATTGCTTTATTACCACCACTTGACTCTTCTTTTGCCATCTTTTCACGCGCACGCGCACACACACACACAATATCCCATCACCACCACTCTCTCCTCCCCACCACTCACCCGTCCACGGTTAGCCCTGACATAGCAAAAGCTTGTACAAAATGCTGGTTTTTAAAAATCCACTTTGTGATTTTTTTGCCTTGACTTGTACAGTGAATGTGCTGAATATACGAAATAACCCATTTGTTTTAAGAACCCACATGAGCCATCAGGCACCACAGGGTTTGGTTTTGCTTATTTGTTACATGTGTCTGCGATTGGGGGTTTCTGTTTTTGTTTTCTTTCTCTCTTTTTCTTCAACTTCCCTGACTTCGAGCCCACACGGCCTTTGAAAAGAGCCTAAAACCCAGCTAATCTTTGAAATAGTCTATAGGAAGTTGGGAATTGGTTGCCTCCCCATCCTTTCTGAGTCACGGTGTATTTTCTCTGGCGCTCCCAGAATAGTTCTGGGAAAGAAGAAATCAAGACTTACACAAAAACCCAACACACAAGATAAGAAACACCAACGAATATTCCTACAACAGGCAACCGCAGGCCAGCGTTGTAGACATTCTGTCCATGCGAAACCATGGAGGCCCTTTTGTTTTTGGCATATGCTTCTCTGCCTGCTGTACGTGGCCCTGTAAGCTGCGGTGACGTGCCCCGCCCTTGGTAGTTTTCCTTTGAGATGTTGTTGTTGCACAGCTGGGGCTGTGGGGAGGGGAAGTTGAGTGATAGGAAGGGGTAGATGTGGTGGCTCCTGCGTTAGACCCAGATAAACAGAGGCAACAAATCAAGCCCAGCTGCCTTCAAACCAAGTATGCTGTTTACTTCTGGAACACTTTTGCAATGATCGTGCATCCTCTTTTGCTTTGGGTTTTTATTGGTGCATTTTATTATTTTTCCTAGAGAGTCACATGAACCACTTCCTAGGTGAATGCAAAAGTTTCCCACGGTTTTATGAGTGGAACAAATGCAGATTTGTAGAGAAGGACTCTGTGTCAAAGGGAGGCCGAGCCGGGCAGAGCCTGAGGGCCTGTGGTGCACTTTCCAGCCCCACCCAGTCTGAGTTCCAGTGTCCTCATCTGTAAAATGGAGATCATAGGAATGGGTGCTCGTGCAGTTGTTGGGGGTTGAATGAAAAAACAGCGTGTAAAGCGTCTAGAATGACCCCTGACCCACAGCAGGCACGCGTACATCCCAGCTCATTGTTATCGTCTTCATTATTCCAGAGCTCCACTGAGTGGGGCAGCAGTCAGTATTCATTGTTAAAATGGCCTGAGTCTCATACCTGCCAGTGTCTGATATGGGCCTTTAAACAAAACAGCCTCGGTCCCTCCTGGTGAACCCAGGTCCCAGCCAGCACATCGTCAGTCCTGCTCTCATCACCATGGCGACTGTCCTGGGTCCCGGGGCTCCTGGGAGAACTCCCCACACTTCCGTGGAACTGAGCGCAGGGCAGTCTTCCTTCCGCAGCAGCACAAACTCGGCTCCTGGTAAAGCCAGGACGTTCTGTTAAGAGACTGTCTGCAACACTAACCAGCAGCCCCCACCAACTCATTGGATCCTCTTTGGATCGAGGTGGGGAATAAGTGAGAAATTCTGAGGCATTCATTTGACTCTCACAGAGATTATGAGCAGATACCATTATTAAGGTCCCACTGGATACACTCAGATCCAACTATTTTCCTTTGTTGTTGTTGTTGTTGTTGTTGTTAAAAGAGAAAAATATGTGTAGATAAAAGTTAAACAACATCCCCTACCAGTCATTTCTTCACCTTTGTGCCCGAGTGTGAGGAGTTGTTTGCCACGTGTGGCGTGGACTAAACCAAGTGTCCCTAATGTAACCAAACGAAAGTGATGCTCAGGTCTCCTGAACTGGCTCCCATTTGTCTTCTTTACGTTCACAGCTGTTTCTTCTGGAGGAAATGAGAGAGAGGAAGTATGATGGGTATGCCCGAGTGATACAGAAATCCTGGAGGAAGTTCGCGGCCCGGAAGAAATACGTCCAAATGAGGGAAGAAGGTATTTCCGTCCGTTTGTTTCGTGCGTTTGACAAACCTCAAGAATAAGTTTGAGCTTAGATGACAGTTACAAGTTTTTGTCCTTTGCATGTCATATGTTGTGTGTGAAAAATCTTGCATCCCTTCAGAGTTTGTCTGTGTGACTCTTTCCCTCCTTTTTCCGGGGGCCTGACCCTCCTCCCTTCTCTGCCTTCATGGACTTGCAGCCTCAGACCTCCTGCTGAACAAGAAGGAGAGGAGGAGAAACAGCATCAACAGGAACTTCATCGGGGATTATATTGGGATGGAGGAGCACCCAGAACTCCAGCAGTTCGTGGGCAAGAGAGAGAAGATCGATTTTGCAGACACAGTGACCAAGTACGACAGGAGGTTCAAGGTACACACTGGCTGCCCGCCCCCCAACCCCCAAACCCCAGAGTCACCAAGCGGATCCCTTAGTTGTAAAACTAACTCATCATTTTGCTTTTCTTATTACCAAAACAGAACATGCTCGTTGTAGAAAAATTTAGAAAATACAGAGAAGCCAAAAGAAAAATAGCTACCTATATCCAGAAACAGTGTTAACATTTTGTGTATATCCTTTAGAACTTTTTTATACAGACATATTTCTGAATATTTTGTTTTATAAAAATGAGATCTACATTACATGCTGGTTTATTTTTTTGTTTTGTGTTTGTTTGTTTGTTTTTTAAATATGCCAGGGAGAACTTTCCATATTATAGACGTATCAATATAGAATATTTTGTTTAGCTGCATAATATTCCATTCAGCAGATACTACATTTTTAACCAATTTCTCATTAATCTATTCTTTTTTTTTTACTTTCATTAAAAAAAGGTACAGTGAGCATCCTTTTATGCGTATCTTCATGCATCTATCTGCTGATGCTTTTAGATAAAATTAATAGGAATGGAATCATTGGGCCCAAAGATTCACAATATCGGGCAGTATTGCAGTGCTCTTACTCATCTTCCCCCAGGGAATGACTAGCAAGGTTTTCTCGGGGCCACTGGAGAGACCGCTGACGATTTAACCTAGTCCCTTAAGCACTTTTAACCTACTCCCTTAGGCACTTCCTTTTGCCTAGTAAAACCTTGGCCCTAAAAGTGAAATCTGAAGCCACCATAGCTCATGATCCATTAAGAGCTTTATTTATTTATTTACTTGGTTTTTGGCCAGGAAAAAAATGAAATAAATAACAGTACTAATAAGAAGAATGATGTTGTTGTGCTGAAATCAAATCATTTCTTACACCCCGAGTGTGGCACCAGCTGTTCCGGCGGCCAGCATGAGAGCAAGCTCGAGTGCGTGTGTCTCTCAGCGGTGTTTGGGTATAAGGTGGTCAGTGGCCCACATATTCCGAAGTCTGTTCATATTTGATTTAAAAAATGTTTTTATTGAATCTTTAGAGAGAGAGAGAGAGGGAAAAAACCATTGATTTGTTGTTCGACGTATTGATGCATTCATTGATTGCTTCTTGTTTGTGCCCTGGCTTGAGACTGACCATCAACCTTAGTGTATCAGGACGATGCTCTAACCAACTGAGCTACCCAGCCAGGGCCTCATATTGTATTTTTAAAGATTATCATTGAAATGAAAATTTATCCATTTTCTTTTTTATATATTTTTATTGATTTCAGAGGGGAAGGGAGAGGGAGAGAGAGATAGAAACATCAATGATGAGAGAGAATCATTGACCAGCCACCTCCTGCAAGTCCCCTACTGGGGATTGAGCTCACAACCCAGGCATGTGCTCTTGACTGGAATCGAACCCGGGACCCTTCAGTCCACAGGCCGATGCTCTATCCACTGAGCCAAACCAATTAGGACAAAATTTATTCATTTTCAAAAGTAAAAATGTCCATGGACTCAAAAAAACATATGCAGGCACTTGAGGGATCCCTGTTTGAGAAATGTTCTGTAGCAGATAACTGGCAGGGCCACCATATGTGTTGGTTTGCCCACACTGTCCCTTTATACCTGTTATCCGATACCTTAGGTGGGTCCAGATGAGTTTGCCATTTTTGTGAGTCAGAGAGAGTCAGGTACCATTAATGTCATATATGTCAGCCTAATAATTATTAATAGTGTTCCCATTCGCTACCCAAGGCAGCTTCCCTTCATGGGGTAGCAGGTGTCCACTCTGTGAACAGCTGTCACTCTGGCGTGCCTGTCCCCCTTCTGAAAGCGCCTCTCCTTCCAGGGCATAAAGCGCGACTTGATTCTTACTCCGAAGTGCTTGTACCTAATTGGCCGAGAAAAGGTCAAACAGGGCCCAGACAAAGGCCAAGTGAAGGAAGTGCTGAAGCGGAGAATCGAGATGGAGAGGATCTTGTCCGTGTCCCTCAGGTGAGTGGCGAGGGGTACCCCGTGTCTCTATGGCCATTGCTGGTCCAAATACGGCCGATGAAAGGCCTGTCAGGTCCCCCGGTGTTGCCATCGGGATGAAGAGAACAGTCTCCTCGTCTTCCCTCCGCAGACCTGGCCTTCCTTGGTCCCAGGGGTCCTGATGTGACAGGATGCGACACCTAGAAAAAGTCACGCACTGTTAGCTCCTCTCATCAGGAGACACTCAGACCCTTTTTTCCCATCAAACATGAGAAATATGTGAAGTGGTATAATTGCTCTTACTGAAGTGGGGCCACGGGCCCAGAGCCCATCCCCAAGCCCACCTCACCCACGAGGAGCACCTACCTGTTTCACCAGCAAGGCCCAGGCAGAGGTGGCCATCAGCATTGGTTTCACGCAGTGGTTCTCAACCTTCCTAATGCCGCGACCCTTTAATACAGTTCCTCATGTTATGGTGACCCCCAACCATAAAATTATTTTTGTTGCTACTTCATAACTGTAATTTTGCTACCGCTATGAATCATAATGTAAATATCTGATATGCAGGATGTATTTTCAGGGGTCGCGACCCACAGGTTGAGAACCACTGCATAGCTTGCTGTGCCCTCTGACTGGCCAGGAAAGGAAGCTTCTTTGAGCTCCTCAAGGCCCTTCCTGCCTGTTCTTGCAAGGGAGGGAATACAGATTGGCCGCCATGAGCTGTAGCCTGGGGTCATTGCCAGTCACGCCGCTCACCTCCAAGTTCACAGGCAGGGCCCTGGCTCCTCCTGTCAGCACTCTGCCTTTGCTTGGCAGAGGGAGACTTCCCAAATCCCATGCTAAGAACTCCCTGGTCAAGCTCCCTCTGGTAAGAGGAGGCCCTCCGCGTCCACAGAGGCCAAGAAAAGAGGAAGAAGGGCCCCTTTGAGCCCAGTAGCTTCCTCCTGGAGTTGCATCTGGGAGCCCTTCTGAGGATCCCGGTGCCTCTGCCAGGGCGACCTTTGGGGGCTGCCATTGCCTCAAAAGCAGCGACGTTCCAGTTGCTTGCGAACATGTCTTTCTGGAGTTGGCACATCTCTGAACCCTTATTCCACACAGAACAAAACTGCTGCTCTGGGAGAAAGCAGGGGTTTGCGTGCTCAGGCGTCTGACGGGCCGGGCTGGAGGTCCTGGCTCCAGGGAGATAATCCAAAGCAGATTTCAAGCCGTGTCCATTCTTGCCTGTGTCCCTGTGGCTCCTGATTCTGTCTGCTCCCAATGTTCCCAACGAAGGACCAGGTGGTGCAGTGAGGTTAAGCATGTGAAGCATTTCGACTTGGGATGTGGTAAACCCTCTAAGCAGAGGGGTCCCTCAGCAGCCTTTGGGAAGCCCCACCTTGGATGGGTCTCGGTGCCATGAATTTCAAGGAAGAGCTGCAGACGCTGTCTGGCTTTCAGGTCTTCCTGAGCGTTGGGCTCGTCGGCTGGGTCACAACCTGAGCCGCACTCTTCCTGGCTGTTGGGCCCTGAGACTGAGCTGCCCTTGGTGTTTGAAGGAACCCAATGGAAGCTTCTCTTTCCCGGCGTGGGGACCAGCCATCCCGGAGCTGAGCTGGGTTAGCTGCAGCGAGGCCGGCTCCAGGCCTAACATGTGCTCTGTGCTCGTTAGGCGGAGAGTGATTACTGTTCTTCCCATTATTATCGCCCAGCTCTGTCTTCAAAGCATTCGAGGGGGACTTGACCGTAAAGAATCAGGCCTACATTTGTATCACACACTTTGACACTATCTTGTTGATCAAGTCCTTGAGGCTTATCAAGATGTCGGATATTCACACTCAAATGTTTTCCTTCTGTCTTTTGTTGTCTTTCTGTCAGCATCTGGGAATACAGTGTCTCCTGGTAACACCAGCTTCTTTTCCTGCTTCCTCTTTAGCAGTCATGGTCTGGACACGTGCTTCCTTGTGGCCTTCCCTTGCTGGAGGCGGTAATAAAATGAGGCATTTAGCCTGAAAGTTGTCCTGACACGATGGGGAAAAGAGCTTGGGTCATTATAGCTTGTGATTTCCGCATGTTGTAGTCACTGAACCTCACGTTCACCAAGATTAATACTCTCCCCTTGTTTCCTTCCTTCATTGGGCTAACCAGCCACCTAAACCAACTTAGGAGTACAATGAACAGATGGGGATGGTGTGTATAGAATCAAACCCAGAGTAGAAATTGATTGTGGTTACCAGACCACCAAACGTGTGTGTGTGGTGTGTTCAAAATATTTCAATATAGAGAACGATTTTAACAGTTGTCTTGCACCTCAGGAAAAACATGTTATAATGTGTATGCGTGTTTTGAAGACTTTATGAGGCTGACTGTGTGACTACTGGCTGGAAGGACCTCCTAATGACTTCTAGTTAAGACCATCAAAGTGTCCCACACATTTGGCCTTTCAGCCCCTCTCTGTCTGTTATAACATAATCACTGTCAAAGCAAAACGGGCCCTCGGCTCCCTGTTCAAACAAACCACCATTCACAAACAATTATGAGACCGTTTGGAAAATGTGAACATGACTAAATATTTGAGGGGAAGGATTTATTGTTCCTTTCTTTAGGCGTGATAATGGTATTGTGATTATTTTTATTTAACGAGGCTTTGTCTTCTAGAGATTCACACTGAAATATTTAAGGATAAAGTAATATGATGTTTACACTTTGCTCTAGAGTAGCCTGGCTTGTGTGTGGAAGTGGAGGGAGTGGGAGTGCAGATATGATTGTGGATTGGTTATTGTTTACACTTGACATGTGGAGGTTCATTCTACTCTCTATATATTTAAGATTTTCCATAGTCAACAGTTTTTTTCTAATCCAATAGACATCATATTTTAGAAGTCTTTTCTTTACCTTTTATAAATATGCTGAAATATACCTGGTCGAGTTATAATTGAAATTTTTTAACTTACCAGAAAAAAAATAGGATTGGCCCAGTAGCTGGGAGAGACTAACACTACAGCTGTCCGAGGGACTCTAGGGTAATGTGAACAGGAAAATTCTCATCTAAGAGACGTTAGACGGGACCACTGATGCTGGCTTCCGCCTTCCCTGGAGACCTGGGGAGAGTGTGGGGAGATGGCACATCAATATTTAGTTGAGACGTCGGATTTTCGAGGCCCGGAGTTTGCTGACAGGCAGTCTTAGTTTTAGAAGAATCCTTCCAGAGCTGCTTCCTGTCCAAGTACTGACCTAGCCTCACTCCTATTTGAAAAGCTCAATTTGCTGAAAGGGTGGCCACAAGGTGTCATAGCCTATGCTCTTTGCTTTCCTGTTTTTAGGCAATGAAATTAGTACCATAAAGTCTCATATTTGGGGACTCTGTCTGTGAAGCTTCTAGTAGCCCGTCTCATTCCCATAGCGGATCATGCCTAAGACCAAAAAGCCACATGGCTGCCCGTCTTTGTATGTGATGGGCAAAGCAGCCTGTGAGAGGGGCTGTAGACAGAGGTGCCAGCTTCTTTGGTCACAGCATTCTTGCCCAGATGTCTTGTTGCCCAATTGCCCAAGCCTCTGGTGGTCAGAGCAGCCCGCTTCACCACCAGCTCAGCTGACCTGAAGCGGTATTGTGAAATCTTGTTGTGACTTGTCATGGCCTTTGAGCATTGGGAACCTAGAAGTCATCGGCATTTGGAACTGACCACCTACCTTGTGTTCAGCCCTGGATTCGAAGGTGAATGAGACATAGTCACCGCCTCAGGGAGCCCCTCCCACTCCGGAAGGGGGAGCGGACACCTGAGTAAACATGTGCCCCAAGTTAGAAGTGTTCAGAGAGGGATGCCCAGGGCAGGCCTGGTGATCGAAGACGGGAAGGAGCCTTTGCACCTGCAGCCAGGTGGCCGGGTGGCGTTCTCCTGGGAGGTCTGTGATGAGGCCTCATATAACGTATCCCTGCACTTTCTCAGAGAAACGCATAGATTCCCAGCCTGGTGCCACTGGTTTCCCTGACGGTGGAGCTCTGGAGAAGGTCTGTTTTCTCCTGGATTTACCTCGGTACTTTCCAGGTTGCTAACAGGATCATTTATTTCATAATCAGGAACAATTTTTATAAAGGCAGGGCCATCTCAGCACATTGCCTTTTCGGCTTTAAGGGGGGGAAATGCCTTTAAGACTTTACTCAGTGTTTTGTAACTAACATTTTTTGAAGAAGATACTGGTTCGGGGAGTAAAACAAGATTTTCTAGTGTTGTCAGCAATACCACAATAAGCCACAAAGATGAGGGGATAAAAACAAGCAGAAAGCCAAAGCAGGGCCTAGACCGGGGAGGGAGCTTTCAGCACGGGGTGCAGACATCTGCAAGGAATTGCAGCTTGAGCACATGAATAAGACAAGGGCGAAATCCAAAGATAAGTCTGATTTTTTTTTTAAGAATAAATAAATGTAAAAGCTTTGTTTCCAGATCTAGGAGCATGGGCTGGAACTCTGGCCTGGACAAGGATGGACTCACCAACTCCTAAGCCTGGGTCATGGAAGGGAGGGGTTTTGAATTTGATGGTTGAAGTCAAAGTGTCCAAACCATCTCTTCTCGTTTCCAGACTCATGCTGATAATTGACCTTGAAGTTTTGGCCTTCTTGCTTTTTTTTTTTTTCTTTATGGTAATAAATCTAAGCACATTAAACGCCTCAGGATTACTTATGTTGGGCTCATTTAGCCCCGCTGAATAATCAGTCCCGCCTACAGTACAGCCGGACAAACAGACACGTCTGGACAGGTCAAAGAATGCTTTGAGTCCAGCCAGCTCAGCAGGAGTGTCATACCTCACCCCACACGCCAGAAAGTGGTGCTTCCTGTTTTCACTCTTTCCCCATTGCGCGCACTCCCTTCTAACGCAGCAGTCTCTCGCGCTTGTGCTAGGATGCTCGGACTTCATTTCATTAATTCCAAGGGACTTGGCATGTTTGTCCCCAGCCGTACCCTTCCCAAACGTGCATTTCCCGAAAAGGTGTGCTTTCCCTGCGCCACGGAATGCATCGGGTGGCACGTGATGCTCGTGCTTGCTGCTGGCGCACACCTGGCCGGTGTGTCTGCCCTGCGGGGGGTGTGCACCTTCAGCAGCACCTGGCACACGTTAGCTGAGCACCGAGTACCCAAAGGCTCCTAATAAGGAGTGCATTCGAAGCCCAGGATGTCGGCTTCCCTTTTGATAACTGAGCTTACAATTCTCCAAATTAGGATTTATTACAGTAGCTGCAACCATGTCATCAGTCCTGCTGACTTGGGCCTTATGTGGAATGGTTCCTTGTCAGCCCATTCTACTCAGCCACATTCTGGATTTACACGATCGTAAGAACATAGAAATGGAATTTGAAAATGGATTTTTTAAAAAGACTAATGGATTTTTTTTTAAAGACTAAATCGTTCTTGAAGTTCTGCTTTTAGCAGTGACGTGGGAGAGGTGCTTCTGTGGATGCGGTGGGTGGGCAGTAAACTTCCTCCCAAAGCAGATTTCAGTGACTCCATTATGTAACTCCTGGTTGTGTTTTGTTGTAAAGATTCGCCCTCACAGGAAGAAAAGCTAGAAACTGAGTGCTGTCTTACAGAATTTTAAAAAACGAGTGAAAAAAGGATGGGTAAACAAAAGTGCAACTTTTCTTTTCTTTCTAATCTCTGCAGTACGATGCAAGATGACATTTTTATTCTTCACGAGCAAGAGTATGACAGTTTGCTTGAATCCGTCTTCAAAACTGAATTCTTAAGCCTCTTAGCAAAGCGTTATGAGGAAAAAACCCAGAAACAACTACCTCTGAAATTTAGCAACACGTAAGTTGGGCCCTGGGGCCCTGAGCTCACTGCCCAGGTCCAGGCTCTGGCGGCTTCCGCCCTGGCTGCCTTAGCTTCTCCTCCCCCCCTCCCCACCCCCCTACCCCCACCCCCACTGCCCCCTACCCCCTGGAATCGCAGGGCTGCAGATTACAGTCCAGTGGCTGTCATGGACTTTGAAAAGGTCACTTTTGTGTTTCTGTGAAACAATAACTTCACCAAAGAGTGTATTTTGTCATTTGGACAAAGGTCACCAAAATGAGGCAGGAAAAGGCAGGTTTTTTTATATTACCAATAAAAGAATACTTTAGCAGAGCAGCCAGAGCAGAGTAAGACTGGAAGAAAGAGAAAGTGAACAGAGTGGGAGCTTAAGTTCCCAAAATCAATGCACAACACCCTGGGTGGACACGGGGGACTAGTGGGCTGAGATGGCCAGCGCCTTGGGTCCTGGCTCGCCTGCCTTTGCTTTAACAACATGGTCCCGTGGGCCAGATCCTGGTATACGGCAAGCTTCTGATCTCCTATTTGTCAGGTGAGAGTGGGGGTTTTTTCTTCTTAAATTTCCATCTATAACATGGAGATCTCTCTTATTACCCACAAGAATTCCAAAGTAAAGCCTTAATTCCATGATGAGGGAAACTTACCATGATTGATGCTGCTGTGGTTGCATTGAAATAGATACTGGTAATTGTATGGATTCTTTGCTGCTTTTCCAAGGAACAATTTGGCTGTTCGTACAGGGGCAGTTATTTTTTCTGGGAATTTGTAATAAGGGAATAACAAGAAAGGGAGACTATGAAGAGCCAAGCCACTCAATAGAATAATAGGCAGCTACTTAAAATTATGATTTTTTTGGTCCAACAACATGAAAAATAGGGTTTTTAAAAAGCAGAATATGGAAATGAACTGTGTAAGCATACACTAGTAGGCAATATGAAAAATAAAAACTGGCTTGGGGGGGGCGGGGGGGGGGGTTGCAGTTGGAATTGTGAGGAAACCTCCCTGCTATTTGGATTTGGGCTGCTGAGCGCTGTCTTTTTCTCTGCCTGGGGTGGGGTCATGGTGAAGGACTAGAACTTAGGTCAATAATAACCGCATTCTACGCTCAGGAAGACATAGGCTAACGTGTGCCTGGCAGCTCCCAGCCCTCCACAAACAGACCAGGGAAATGGGAGAGAGGCACGAGGGTGCACCACAGCAGGTGTGGCCTGGAAATTGTCCCCTTCCTCCTGTCCCCCGGCGGTCCCACCTGAGTCCACCTGCAGAGACATTGGCACCTGCCTCACCACCTGGTGTCTCACAGGTGCTGGGCCCCGGATGCTCTGCCTCTGGCTCACTCTTGTGCCAAACCGTGGCTGTCAGACTCACCCCCGGGCCCTGTGCTGGTTTGCAAATCCTAGTCCTGCCTGGGTTTACAGCAGGTTGGCCCAGCGTCGAACTCCATGCTGGGGTGGGTGAGCTGCATTCTCTCTCTGCTTCCTTCTGGCTTAACTCCAACCCATATGCTTGTCACAGGCTTGAACTCAAGTTGAAAAAAGAGAACTGGGGCCCCTGGAGTGCCGGGGGCTCCCGGCAGGTGCAGTTCCACCAAGGCTTCGGGGACCTGGCCATCCTCAAGCCCAGCAACAAAGTGCTGCAGGTCAGCATCGGACCCGGGCTGCCCAAGAACTCCCGTAAGTGTCTGCGGCCCCGGGGACCTGGGGCTGAGCTCCCGGATCCCCCGCCCCGCCCTCCCTCCCCTGCCCGGCCCTCCCTTCCTCTGCCCCACACCGTCTTCCTTCTCACCCAGTGCTCATGATAGGTGCTTGCTTATTTCAGGTCCCACCAGGAGGAACACCACCCAAAGCAGAGGTTATTCCAGTCAGACTCACAATGCCAACTACCCGATGAGAGCTGCCCCTCCCCCGCCAGGTAAGCCAAGCAAGTGCCATGGACTGGGACCGTTAACCTGAACCCATAACTTGTAAAACATAGTTGGGAAGATACCCATTAGCAGATACATGCACATCATTAGACAGCCCTGAGCCGGTTCAGCGCCAGGTGTACTCCCAACACCGCGGCGCTGCTTGTGACCCTGAAATGCAGGGAAGTGTGAGCTGCTCAGACCGAACTCTGCCGAGTGAACGGCCCGGATTGCATTGCCCGGCGCTAGTCACTCCCTTAGGAAAGGCTCCCTCGTTCCGTGAGAGAGAAGGGGCTCCTTGTCCTTGGTGGCCAGGATGCTGTCGGCCTCTAAGGTGCAGGATGTTGCCAGGTATAACCTCACCATCCTCACCCACGACAATATTTTGCAACAAGTTTACAGCTTAATGACAAGTTGAAAATGTTTATTCTTGGTCAGATAGGCTCTAGGACAGCGGGTTCTCAACCTGTGGGTCGCGACCCCTTTGGGGGTCGAATGACCCTTTCACAGGGGTCGCCTAAGACCATCGGAAAACACATATATAATTACATATTGTTTTTGTGATTAATCACTATGCTTTAATTATGTTCAATTTGTAACAATGAAAATACATCCTGCATATCAGATATTTACATTACAGTTCATAACAGTAGCAAAATTACAGTTATGAAGTAGCAACAAAAGTAATTTTATGGTTGGGGGTCACCATAACATGAGGAACTGTATTAAAGGGTCGCGGCAGCCCTTACCGGTTTGGCTCAGTGGATGGAGCGTCGGCCTGCAGACTCAAGGGTCCCGGGTTCGATTCCGGTCAAGGGCATGTACCTTGGTTGTGGGCACATCCCCAGTAGGAGGTGTGCAGGAGGCAGCTGATCGATGTTTCCAACTCTCTATTCCTCTCCCTTCCTCTCTGTAAAAAATCAATAAAAATATATTTTTTTTAAAGAAAGGGTTGCGGCATTAGGAAGGTAGAGAACCACTGCTCTAGGAGAACGGCTCCCAAAAATAAAGTAATATCTGAGATACAAAATTGATAGAAAAAAAATTTTTAATACAAAGAAAATGTTTAGACCTTATGTTTCATATTTCTCAATTTTATGGTAAAAATATAATATGCAGGTCAATGAACTCCAAACCCAAATTTAGTAAGACTTTTTGCCCTTCGTAATCTGTTTAGTGTTTGAAGAGCACTCTCAAAATTGGCAAAAATGTTTTTCCCTCACTCACAAAATTCAGTTAATAAAAAAACTGCCCCTAGAATGTTTGATGTGAATAAGTTTGGGGTTCTAGGCCTGAACGGGTCATCTGTTGGCCCAGTGTCTGAGATGAGCAGTAAAAGGCATTTCTTTTGTTTCCTGTGCTAAAAATATGGACACTGTGCCTGTCAGTGAGAAACTGATTCTCTCCTCTCGGAGTTCCGTCCTGCCTGGCCCAGCTGTCTCTCCTCCCCTCTGCCTTTATCCTTGAAGAAAATCCAAGCACAACGCCATCCAAGAGAACCAATGTGGTGCTGTGTTACTAAATGGGCCAGTCCCTGTGCAAAATCCTGGCCAGACCACCTGGAAACTAGGGCTGGCCTCAGCTAGGTTGGCCCAGGTCACCTCAGGCCAACTATCTGACCTTGAGCATGGCACCCAACCTCTCTCTGTGACAGTTTCTTCATCCGTAAAATGAGGCAGTTGGGCCTGAATCTCTTAGCTCGGCCCTTGTCACATGATCTGCAGTGAAGGACCTGGGTTGTTGTTGCTCTTTTCTTAATTTCAATTCCACCACAAACCATATTTCTTTAAAGTAAAATAACGACTACTAGAAAAATGGAATTTTAAAAGCATTCAACATGATACACCAAAATTTCTTATTAAATTTAACAGATGTGAAATATGCCCATGACACTGCTATGAATATTTCTAAACGCTTATTCCTAATTTCTGAATTTATGGCAGGTGAGTGGGTTATAAGCAGCATGGAGAACCCCACTCCTGCCCCTGCCCCTGGTGAGCATCGAGGCCTAGAGCTCACCCCGCTCTGCGTGCCCCTCTCCTATCCTTGGCAACCTTGGCAGCAGTTGGCTCTCACCAAGCTCCTTGTTTCTTTCATGAAGAAATTGACACTCTAAACGCGCATTTATCTTGCTCAAGGTCAACACAGCTGTGAGAGGCAGAGCCAAGTCTGACCCCCGAGTCCCTCTTAGACGAGATCCTCCTGCCAGTACCAAAGAGTCCCTCCCTTAGTGCAGTGGGAAGGGCGTCATGGTGGGTTCATAGAGCGTGCCTTGAGGAGTCTTGTTCTTCTTCGCTGTTGCCCCGATCTGCCAATGGAGAGGAGCTGAGGGCTTCTTCACACCTCGCAGGGACTGGTGATGCCCATCACCGTCATCCCTTACTCACCAGATAATGTGATCTCGACTAGGAGCAGGTGTGTGGCTAAGGGAGCCTGCTCTATCTGGATCGACCCCAGCCTGTGTGGGGTGCTCCCTCCACCTCTCCCAACGGGCTCCTGCAAGGACACCCAAGACTGAGCCTTTGAAAATAGGTTTCCAATGTTTAAATAGTTGCCTGTCAGGAGGCTTGAATCGTAACGTCATAATTCTTCTCAGACCCAAGGAAGTGCCTGCCTCCCTCAAGAGGTAGTTTCAAGCTTACCTTTTCTTGACTGTGGGCTTTGAAACCCTGGACATCTGGTGATTCTGCTGTCAAATTTCACAAGCATGCGCGAGTGTCTGCCGTGTTCCAGGCGCTTGCTGGGCAGTTTGCAATGTGTTAGCACTGTTCCTCACACTATGTTAGCGGTTATGCCCTCCATCTTTTCAGATGGGGAAACTGAGGCCTGGCAATGTTAAGTAAGTTGCTCTTGGTTAATAAATGGAAGGAATTTGGAGAGACTTTTGGCAAAGGATCGTAAAATTGAAGGTTGATTTTTGTCCTCTTTCTAGGATACCATCAGAATGGAGTCATCAAAAACCAGTTTGTGCCACACCCGCATGCTCCTGGAAACCAGCGGTCCAATCAGAAAAGCCTGTACACCTCCATGGCCCGCCCACCCCTGCCCCGACAGCAGTCCACGGGCTCAGACCGCACGTCCCAGATGCCGGAGAGCTTGGATTTCCTCAAGGTCCCAGACCAGGGTGTGGCAGGGTAAGATTCCCGCCTTTTGTGGGTGAGGCCAGCACCTCCTCTCCATCAGTTACACCAAGGTTCACAGGTTCCACCCACACATTGTCCTCCAGGACCCAACACCGTGCGGGCCTTGGTTGGCATTTCTAAAAGTACGACCAACTTCATGGCACACAACTCATTCTCCAGAGAGGGCGTGTCTTAGAAACATCAGAAGAGGGGTCCCTTTCGGCCCTTAGATTCAATTACTCTGTAACCATTTCTGCTCTCCGGCATGGTTGGGGAACAATGGGGTTTTGGTTTATGTCTGTGCCTGCAGTTGCATGAATATGATCGCTCAAAGAGTCATCAGGAATATTGAGAATAACACTCCAGAATTCCATGAGAAGTAGAAGTTTGTTTGTGAATCACCTCTTCAGGGCTTTAAAATGACAGCCTTCCTGCCTTTCTAGAATAAAAAATGAAGAGTAGTAAAAAGAAAGCCAGGCTTTGTACCTGAGGAAGGGAAGATTCCTGAAACTGTGTATATCAAGCATGTCAAACTCACGGCCCACGGGCCGCATGCCTTGTTTATTGGGCCCATGTTAGCCTTTGAGTTTGACATGCTTGGTGCAGATATTCCAAGAGTCATCGGTGTGGAAAGGGGGTTAGGCCAATTGCAGGACAAGTGAGTGAACTCTACCAGGAGGTAGATAGCGGAACCAGTAAACCAAAAACGTTCCAGTAGCCCAAAGATGAGCTGCCCGAGGATGTAAGGAGCACAGGATGGACGGAAATCACCAGGCTGAAGTACTGTAGAGGGGTATTGTCAGATACCAAAGAAGGATGAGGATCCTATTTCAGCCCCTATTGCTTATCTAATATTGGACTTGCTGCTTCTCCTCTCTGAGCTTTATTTTCCTCATCTGTATACGGATGTAATACCACCAAGCTTGCAGAGTTGTTGAGAGGACTAGAAATTATACACAAAGTGCCTAGCCTGGCACTCAGCATGTAGCAAACTGCTCAGCCAACTTAGTTTGATGTGATGGTGGTGGTGGTGGTGGTGGTGGTGGTGGTGGTGATGGTGGTGGTGGTGGTGGTGGTGGTGGTGGTGATGGTGATGGTGATGGTGATGGTGATGGTGATGGTGATACAACCATTATCTCATGGTGGTCGTGACTGTTAGGGACCTTCCAGCTCTGCATGATTCTCAGTGGTGGAATAGTTCTCTCTGCTGAACCCAGTGAGGGGCCTCCTTCAGCCCCCTGCTCCCCTCTCTCATACCCTCCTCCATTTTCCATTCTCTCCAAGCCTCTGGAACGATGATGAAGTTTCTAATGGCATCAGGAGACGTGTACAAAACAGAGCAGTGCTGGGAGCGGACCAGCAGCTCCTCCCGCTGGGTGGGCAGCCACCACTCACCTCCCTGCCCCTTTATGAGATGTTTTTCCTGCCTTGTCAGCTTCCTTCTAAAGACCACGAAGCGCTGAGGAACTTGACCACGTTTGCTCCTGCTGTTTCTTTTTCCCTCGCAAGTCTTACCCTATTTGGGCTACAGATGGGAGCACCGTGGTTGCATACAGGTGCCATCAGTGGAGTGGATGCCACCCCTTCATTACATCTCTCTCCCCGCCTCCCCCACTCTTGTGGAACCAGCTCTGTTGCATCTGTTCTAGCGACCATGGCTCCCCTGGTTGGCTTGGTCTAAAGCAGTCGCGCTCAGACTTCACTGAGCACCAGAGTCCCTGGAGAACTTAGTGGCCCACTTCCAGAGGTTTGGATTCAGTAGGTCGGGGTGGGACCTAAGAATTTACTTTTCTCCCAAGTTCCCAGCGCTGCTGCTGAACCAGGGACCACACTTTGAAAATCACCCGTCTGGTCTGATTGTTAAAGCCAGGGAAGGGTCTGTGAGTTGAAAGGTGAGTTGAAAGGATGCTGTTGGGACAACAGGATTGCTCTGCAATCCAGACCCACACATTCAGAGGGGTGGACATCACTGAAGCAATCAAGCAACCCCTCCCGGGCCCAGTTGGGTGTCCCAAAGGAGGCAGGGGATTGAAGTCGGTGAACAAAATGCACCACATCCCTTAGCTCTGCCTGCCGGGCCCAGTTGGGTATCCCAAAGGAGGCAGGGGATTGAAGTCGGTGAACGAAATGCACCACATCCCTTAGCTCTGCCTGCTAGCTTCCTACTTGCTTTGGTTTTGGCAAGCAAAGCCATCTTTCCAGCCTGCTTCTGCAACTTCCAGACTTGCACACCAGCCAGCCGGGAGCATCTGTCAGCCAAGAGCAGGCAATTTAGCTACGTTGTGTCTTAACCGAGGCTGCTACCTTCCAGCCCTCAGCTCTGTGGTTCTCGGTTCAAGCCCATCACACCCTTCTCCACATTCAGGCCTAAAGATCAGGCCTACGTGGTGTTGCCGTGGCGATGGCCGTGAGGCTGGAAGGAGAGGGCACCTTCACAGCTGCCTGCCGGGCAGTACGATGCTCCCAGCTGTGTGTAAAAGTCACGATCGTTATTAGGCACTGAGTCCGGTAGCTGCGAGGATCCCAGCCAGTCTCCACTGGACATTAAATCTGCTCTGGGGCACACATTTCTTAAGAAATTGTACTCTGGTCAAAGGACTGAGCTTTTTCTTAGAATTCATTTTCTAAAACATATAAAAGTGAAATTGAAAACAATTTCTAATGTGGCCAGAGACCTTAGATGTGCATTTCAGGAGCCTCGTGGTTCTGTGCACTGAATAGCTCCCCTTTGCCAAGAAAACGTGAATTGCTGTATTCCACAGGAAGTTGTTGGAGCCAGCAGGGAGCTCGGGGATCCCACGCTTGTACCTTTCCTTAAACACGAAAATTCGTTTAGACATCACAGTCCCAGGCAGTGACCTAGAACTTGCCAATCTAGAAAAACAAGATTAGCACAGTCTGTCTCAACTCGGCTTCACACCCTCGGGTTTATCTTCTCTTTCCCTCTCCCGCCCCCAGTGCACTCTTCCTTCCAGACATATTAAGCATAAGCAATCATTTCTTTTGGATCATGGAGTGTGGATAAAATCAAATGGTGTAATTAGCACCTCGAGTTAATTCAGGAAAGTCTTTGTCAGTTTATTTTATGTTCCGTCAAGTTTTTTTTTTGGGGGGGGGGAGAGCATGCATGAAGCTTTTACTAAATTAATTACCGCCCCCACTGGTTTCTGTACCCTTGCCTTGCCACATGTGTGACATAGTCTTTGTTCTTGTCATCGTCATTGTTATCGTCATCCAAGAAAACTAAGCAAGATGTAGAGGGGCCATCGTCTCGCAGTCCGTTAGCATACCTTCTGGAAAGTCCGACTCAGGTGAACGCTCCTTGCTGATTCTCAGGGAAAGAGGGCAGGTGAAGAAAGAATCATACAAGCAGCTCATTCATCAGCCTTTGCTCTGACTTCATAGGAACACGTGATGTGCCAGTCAAGGGTGCTTTATCCATAACTGAGATGACAAAATCTACCTGCACTTCATTGCTGGAAGTATCAAAACCCAGACCGGGATGTCTTTTCTGTTGGCCTTTTTAATCCCGTGATCCATTTCATGCAAGGACAATTTCAGGAAATTTCAAGATACCCCCGAGATTACTCCAACTAGCAGTTGGAGAACCCGGAAAATACTGGGAGTGCTCAGCGGTAGGGCTTCTGGCCACGGCACAAAGGAGGGATCGATAGAAAAACTGAAATGCTGCCTGTGTGTCTCTTGACAAGGTTCTCCTAATGGAGTCATATTTTCAAGGGGCTTAAAATTTCCAACAAGTGTCCAATAGCAATATTTCTCAACCCGTAAGCTACAGGAGTGGCAGCCATATCCTGGCCCAAGCCGACACGAAGCTGAGGAATTCCTGGCATCCATTCCCTCATTTCCAGTAATGTTTATAGATTCAACCTTTTGGAACAGACCCTATTTTAAAGAGCCAGTGAAATAAAATGCCATTATTTTCCTTCCTGGAATTTCAAGACATAAATTTTACATCTGCAGAACAAAGAAGTGATAGCTGAAAGCTTAAGCCCAGCTAACCCTGGAGTGAACTAGTGCACCCGCTGCCCCAGAGGGGTGGCGGCTGCAGAGTTCACAAGGTGGCTGGCGGAGTGCAGCGAGCACACGACTCGAAGCTGCAGGGAAGGTGTGGGTCCCAGCTCCTGGGTTTGGTTCTTCATAGATTCATTCACTGAATATTGATGGGGCCACGTGCCTTCCATGTGCCACATGCTGTGCTGCCTCTCATCTATCACTTGTTCTTTCTACACCTTGGTGACCTCACCTGCATAAGAGGGATAATCTATATATATAAAAGCCTAATATGCAAAGTGTCCCCTCGGGAGTTCGACAGACCGGGAGTTCGATCGCTTGCTATGACATGCGCTGACCACCAGGGGGTGGTGTGGAATGAAGGAAGCCCCCAGCTGGCAGCTGCTAGGGACCCTACCCATGCACAATTTCGTGCACTGAGCCTCTAGTAAGAATATAACTTAAAAACCCTCTCCTCAGGGTTTCTTGGAGATGAAATAGGGCTTTGTAAATGGTAAAGCACTATGCAGCTTGAACATTTATTTGTATTGGTTTTATGACTGTTACTCATGTGCTTTGCTCTCTTAGGGAAATAGTCATGTCCTACCAGGATTGAAAAGTGGGTGTCCCCTGGCCACTGGCTTTTCTCGCAAGAACTCTAATCTCTGACTGCACAGAGGGTCTCTGGGAGGGTCTAAGCTTTAAGCATTGCTGGCTTTAACGGGGAATATGCAGCCTAGGGAAGCAAGACAAGGGACCAGTCAGGGAGACCCCTTCATCACTCCCCCTACACACACACACACACACACACACACACACACACACACAATAGCTGTGCCGCTCTCTGTAGGCTCAGAGCAACAGCAGAACAGGGGGCGGTGAGGTAATATTGCGACAGACGCTAGCTGCATTTGGACAATGTCAATAAAGCCCAAAACTCCTCCCGCTCGACTCTTCCCCAGTCTTTGCTCCAATCACTGTAACAACTCACATCCCCTGGA